CACTGCGCCGACGCGGAATGGCCGATCCGCGCCGGCCAATCGCGGCGCGAGTTACAGCAGAAACGCCGACCGCAGAACGCTCGCGCGCTTTCATCCCTCGCTTCCGCGCGGCGCGGCGTGCTGCGTGAAGTTATTCGAAACACGGGGGAATCGGCGGGATATGATACAATTTTTGAATTTAATTACAATGAAATAAATCCAGGGTTGGTTGGTTAATGATTTTTTTTTAAATAAGTTAAGTTAGTTGCTTATACAATTAATTTAAAAGCTGCGTGAACGAAAAATTAATTCAGTTGAAGTTAAGATTTAATTAAGTGAAGTTAATTTGTAAAAATATGATTTATATTAAAGAATTTTGTTTGTTAATTTTTTTAATATTTATAATAACTAAGAAAGTTTGATTTTTATATAGAAATATATTTTTTGGGCATTACAATTGATAACAAATGAACATAAAAATTATTAATACTTTAATTTTTCAATTTCATTGAAATGAAATCAATCCAGGGTTGGTTGGTTAATGATTTTTTTTAAATAAGTTAAGTTAGTTGCTTATACAATTAATTTAAAAGTTGCGTGAACGAAAAATTAATTCAGTTGAAGTTAAGATTTAATTAAGTGAAGTTAATTTGTAAAAATATGATTTATATTAAAGAATTTTGTTTGTTAATTTTTTAAATATTTATAATAACTAAGAAAGTTTGATTTTTATATAGAAATATATTTTTTGGTCATTACAATTGACGACAAATAAACATAAAAATTATTAATACTTTAATTTTTCAATTTCATTGAAATAAAATCAATCCAGGGTTGGTTGGTTAATGATTTTTTTTAAATAAGTTAAGTTAGTTGCTTATACAATTAATTTAAAAATTGCGTGAACGAAAAATTAATTCAGTTGAAGTTAAGATTAAATTAAGTGAAGTTAATTTGTAAAAATATGATTTATATTAAAGAATTTTGTTTGTTAATTTTTTTAATATTTATAATAACTAAGAAAGTTTGATTTTTATATAGAAATATATTTTTTGGTCATTACAATTGACGACAAATGAACATAAAAATTATTAATACTTTAATTTTTCAATTTCATTGAAATGAAATCAATCCAGGGTTGGTTGGTTAATGATTTTTTTTAAATAAGTTAAGTTAGTTGCTTATACAATTAATTTAAAAGTTGCGTGAACGAAAAATTAATTCAGTTGAAGTTAAGATTTAATTAAGTGAAGTTAATTTGTAAAAATATGATTTATATTAAAGAATTTTGTTTGTTAATTTTTTAAATATTTATAATAACTAAGAAAGTTTGATTTTTATATAGAAATATATTTTTTGGTCATTACAATTGACGACAAATAAACATAAAAATTATTAATACTTTAATTTTTCAATTTCATTGAAATAAAATCAATCCAGGGTTGGTTGGTTAATGATTTTTTTTAAATAAGTTAAGTTAGTTGCTTATACAATTAATTTAAAAATTGCGTGAACGAAAAATTAATTCAGTTGAAGTTAAGATTAAATTAAGTGAAGTTAATTTGTAAAAATATGATTTATATTAAAGAATTTTGTTTGTTAATTTTTTTAATATTTATAATAACTAAGAAAGTTTGATTTTTATATAGAAATATATTTTTTGGTCATTACAATTGACGACAAATGAACATAAAAATTATTAATACTTTAATTTTTCAATTTCATTGAAATAAAATCAATCCAGGGTTGGTTGGTTAATGATTTTTTTTAAATAAGTTAAGTTAGTTGCTTATACAATTAATTTAAAAGTTGCGTGAACGAAAAATTAATTCAGTTGAAGTTAAGATTAAATTAAGTGAAGTTAATTTGTAAAAATATGATTTATATTAAAGAATTTTGTTTGTTAATTCTTTTAATATTTATAATAACTAAGAAAATTTGATTTTTATATAGAAATATATTTTTTGGTCATTACAATTGATGACAAATGAAGATAAAAATTAATAATACTTTAATTTAAAAATAATACGTTTATAACTTATAAAAAAACAAAAATTGATTAATACATTTTAAATTAACTAAGCTAACTTAAAAGTTATTAACTTTTTAACTTTTTTTTAGCTTTTAACTAATTAACTAGTTATTATTCAACCCTGAATAAATCACATTAATAAAAATATGTGTATATACAATTATTAATCGTTTTTTATTTATTTTATTTTTAATAATTTTATACTTAATAATTTATTTAATTTTGTATTTAAATGAAATTGAATATATCTATATAAATATTTGATATAATTAATAAGTCAATTGAAATAAAATGCATTAAAAATTGTTTAAATAGCAATAAGTAGAAATTAAGAAAATATGAAATTAACAGATTAAACTATAAATTGTCTACAGGACAATTTATATATAAAAATAGCTGAACCGGAATAATGAATGCTTATCCTTAATGTTAATGATGAATCTCATTATATCTTACGTGAGAAATATTTTTGATTAATGTCTGATGCTTTTTTACTGCCTTAATCGCGTGCGAACAGTCAGCCTTAATTAAATCGTGAACGAAAATATTCTGAATTTTTAGGATTAGTTTGTTATGCTTGTCGTACTAAAAAATTCTAAAAAAATGAGAATCTGGGAAGCAACGCACTAACTTAAAACACAGAAATATTCCTGTCTTTAGAATTTCTTTTTTTTATAAATAATTCTCTTTGTATAATACTCCGATTTTGCCGCAACTTTACAATATTGTGTATTTTGGTGCATAAAACAAATGTGTAAATTAAAATTGTCGCTCTCAAATAAAAAAAAAATAAGTTTTGTTCCCCTCCTCCCTCTCGTAGAAGTGCCAGATTGTAATTTACAGATTTGTGTTTTACACACAAAATATACACAATATTATAAACGTGCTATATTGAGTTTATCTTACACATTCACATCCGATCAATTAATATATTTTTCCACCGCTTTAAAATAAATAATAAAATTCAACTGATATTTCGACTCACTATTTTTCTTATCTTATCTCGATGACGTACTCCGGATTCCTCGCTGGCAGCATTTTTTCTATAAAAAACAAATAAAGAATTACTAAATAAATAAGAATTATCAGTATAATAACATAAATAATAAATAAATTATATACCACAATAATTAATAGCATTAATAAATAATAATTAATTAATAAATAAGAATTATTAAATAAAAATTAATTAATAAATAAAATCAAACAAAACTAATTAATAAATAAAATAAATAATAAATAAATTCTTTACCATAATCCTTGTTCCGTCATTGCCCAATGCCACCCTGAGCCTCCTCTTCAAAGAAGAAACACTTGCACTCGCGTCACTTTTTTCGTTCGCGACGTACGGCGACGCCCGGATTTAGCTGTCACATTTTCGACGCGTTTTGACAAAATTCGAGAATCGCGGGAGCTTATTCGCGCGCGAACCGATGCTCCATTTTGGCGTCGCCGTATTTTTCAAGGCTCACTCATTAACGAACGACGACGCACTTGGGATCGAGTCGCTGATATTAATTCGCGATTTTCGAGTATTTTCCGAACTCTGCGATCTACACTCGCGATTCGTCGCGTATTTCGACAATACACGATTAATATATGTAATACACGATTAATATAATGTTAAAGAGGAACGTACGATATCGAAAGATAATATGGCGGCGCGACCAAATAGTTGACCTTTAAGAATTTCGCCATAATTTACGTACGACGAGTTTTTGCGATTTCTGCGATTGCGATTAGTGTCAGGACACGCGGCGCCACCGAATTTATGCGATAATTAACGGCGGGACGATGTTAATTATTCTTCACACACGTATTTTTACGGAGCCGAGCTAAACGCGCGAAACCTTGATTGAGAAGAAGTAGAAGGTGCACCAGAGGGCAGCAGCATGCCAGAATGTATTCGAAAATGTTCCCTTAGAGTACAACACGCGGATTGACCAATCAGGAGAGATCCTCGGGCTCCGATTGGTCGGCGCAGAATTTGTCCACCAACCAGACATCGAGGATTTTTCGGCCAAGTTGGATGAAATTGAAGATTTATATATAATTTTTTTAATCGGAATAGAAATGAAGAAAATACGAAATTGACAGATAAAACTTAGAAATTGTCTACAGGACAATTTATAAGTTTGATCTGTCAATTTCCTATTTACATTATGTCTCCATCAAAAATTAGCCGATTGCTAAACCGGGACAATGAATTATATGACGAATCTCATTATATCTCATGAGAATATGAAAAACGTTTTTGATTAATATCTAATGCTTTTTTTCTACGATATTACTTTAATCACGTGCGAACAGTCAGCCTTAATTAGACCGCGAGTAAAGAGAATTCTGAATTTTTTATTAGTCTCAGTTATATTCTTCTGTACGAGAATTCACAACAAATAGAAAAATAAGAATCTGGAAAACAATGCACTAATTTAAAAAAAATTTCTCTAACTTTACAATTTCTTTTTTTCTATTAATACATTTCTCTTTGTAATACTCATTAAAAATATAAACCTCTGTATGTAGAACTTTTTTATATAAATTTAACTATAAATTTTTTTTTTTTTTTGCAAAGTTGATGTAATTTATAATTATAATGTAAATTTGCATGTAATATATAAATAACAAATAATGCACTAAGAAACTGAACACTTATATATATACATATTTATCAAAATGTTAATTTATAAAAAAACTACACATATGTAAATGTAGACCGCTACTTTAAGAACATATTATATTAATCGAAATGTACAAAAAAGTTTATAAATATATGTGTCCAGAAATGATATTTTAATTGGCTCTTTTATTCTACAAGACAAAAGTTTGTATACAATTTTTAAAATATTAATTTACTCTTTTTCCTTGACAATGAATTATTTTGAGATAAAGATTATTTGCAATATATTTAGTTTCATTGTTAAAGAAATAAAATAATATTTTTTTAAATATATATTTATATGTTTAATGAACTTTTTCATATGTGCTTATATAAAATAAAATACAATTTTAAAGTAGCAGTCGACATTTTTGTTACATTCTGTATATATAATTCTTATGTGTTCAATCCATATCAAAGATCGCTCATTAGCGATCTTAAACATAAACATAAGCTATTAAGATATAGTATATAACACACATCAATTTATGAATTTTAATCGTATCGACAGCATCTGGTATTATAATAATATCGATATAATGCTGTAAAAAGCAGTTTATAGCGCTTTGGGCATCGATATTCATCGAGTCGCGCACCGAGAGAAGCGTAGCGCGTTGGTCATTAATTAAGGCTGGCTAGGCTTGATTGCGTGTAATGCGAAATTCATCGCGGCTTCGTAGACTTAACTACCAAGCGGCTTAACGAATACAAATGCGGAATTATAATTCGGTGAACCCGGTCTCAGGAGACTGTTCCGAGGAGAGGTGATGGACCTTTTTATGAATCGCCTTCTAGTCCTTTGTACCCGCAGCACGCGAGATGCACGCACCCGGCTTCCTATTAGCCTTATTAATGGTGCCATTAACTTTGCCATCGAACTGTAAACATCTGGCACTCGGTGACGATAATGCAACTGTCTTGCGGACCATAATAGCTGTTGATGTCCAACTGAGGAGATTCTGAAAATGAAATAAATCAATATATTGAAATAACAATAACTATTAGAATACTATATCTAAAATTTCTTTATCGTAATAATGCAATATGAATTATAGAGAAATCATTTTCACATATTTTTATATTTTCCATTTTTTTTATATACTGTATGTAATTTTAGCGAATATATGAATTTGAATCTAATTATCTATCAATATTTAATAATATTCATGTCTATACATATGTATATATTTATGATTATTCTATATAGTATAGATTCTGTTTAAAAATTATTATAGAAGTATATTAAAGCTTTGATAATTTGAGGTATTTGTACTGCAATATACTCAGAGAAAAATATTCTTTATCGTAATAATGTACAATATGAATTATACAGAAATCATGAGTACATGTAATATAACATATATCGTTATACCTCATATAAAAAAACCATAACATTAAATAAATATTTAATTCATAAAATTCTTTCTTTTTTTATTAAACTGTATTATAGATAAGTATGCTGCATATATACTACTCTGTTAATCTTATTTATACGATATACGACATGAAAACCAGAATCGTGTCGTCCTGACGACGATGAGCATTATTAGGTCGATATAATATATTTTGCACGTGGACACCCTTTTACATTCGCGAAAACATGTCCGAACCTTTAGCATCCGTCGCCGAGAACAAGCTAAATGAGCTTAATAAAAATATCATCGAGATCAAGAAGAAAATCCAGTTGTCAGGTAACAATTCGAAACATTCCTCGCTTATCTACATCGCCCCTGACAGTCCACGAATCAACACTGCAAGATTACAACAAAGCTACAAAATAAAATCTTATAGTTACACAGGATATATATATCTCCCTCTTCTACAGTATTTTTTGTTAATGATAAATACGTTTAATTAAAGTTTATTTTTTTCATAATTTTTTCAAATTTCAAAACAAAGGAACTCTGAACTCTACAGTTTTTAAACAAGTAAAAATTGAAAATAATAAACTAAGAGCTAACTTCTTATTTAATTTTTAATACTCATTGTTAGTTTTAAAAAAGGAAATAAATATGTAAATCGTGATCTTTAATTTAATAGTTAATTTAAAATAAACTTTAATCAAAGTTTTATGTTATAGAGATATATTAATATTATATAATGTTTAAAATTGAAGTTATGCAACTGCAAATTGATTTAAAATTATTTTAAAAGTTTGTCATGAAAATTGGAGGTACGTTGTGACGTAGCATAAATGAGACACCATATAATTTAATATTCAGATATTTGTTACACATCATGGAGCAAGGCGTGCCAAAAAGAGACAGCTCACTGACATTTGGGAGACAGAATCATGATTGTACAATGATAAATATGAACGAGTCAAACTGGAAGAACCAGTATTTGAAGCGACACATAATCTTTCTTATATATAAAAATAACGGCGAAAAAGTAAAATGAAAAGAGGGCAAAATCTAGTAGGGTCAGGTTGATTAGGCTACGTGTTGTAAGATAAAATGGAATGTTTGCATCTTCATTGCATAATTATATATACAAATTTTAGTCGACGAAAACGCGAAAAATATGCAACAATTGTTCTAATTTCACATATAAATAAAGTGAATTTTTAACATAAAATGCTTATTTTTAACATACAAGCTTAATTAATAAGAAAATAGTAAAATAATTATTTTATCATTTTGTTTACTAATTATACATTCCAATTTTGTATATATATATATATATATATATATATATATATATTCCATCTTATTATATTTATATGACTTTACATACATATATTTATATGTATATTATGTAATTATCTTATAATTATAATCTTAATTTCATCAAGTAACATTGTTTAACTAATTAATTTTAATTAAATCAATTATCTAATGTTATAACATGTGTGTGATTAAATAAAACTTCTGTCATAAATAAAATCCTTCTGAGTCTTTTCTAACATATATGTTTACGCATTAATAAACCAACGCATAAAAGTAGCTTCAATAACGACAAGTATTGAATAGATTTACTTTTAAAGATCTCATACCATCGAGGGAAGTCAAGATACCTGAATAGATTTACCTATGTTGTGTACCTAGTACCTGATTCGTTGAACCCGATTAGTCATTATGGCCCAACTTATACGACTAATAGAACTTTAAAAAGCAACAATAGGTGATCAGATTTTATGATTCTTCTACGATGAAATACGAATTTTTCGTGAAAGAAAGTATTACCTAATCTCTACCTGAGCGATTGCCATGATCTGTTCTTTCTATTCATTTGAAATCATTCAAGAAGACAACGATAAAAACAAATCTATTAGTTTACTATTTTTTGATCGAATTTGCAAAAAATTGTGTTTACAAAAAATCACAATTTTGCACATCATATTTCACTGCATACATGTAAATATATGTATGTAAAATGTAATATATTCAGTTGTATAAAATGGATATATACAGTAATGTATAATTATAAAAAAATATTATATTTGGCCTAAATTCATTTACTAAATAAAAGTTTTAGACACATCTTTGCACAATGTTTTGCAAATTTGATCAAAAAGTAATAAACATGATCATAATATTTTTTCTTGTTCTCAGAGGGCCAAAGAAAAGCTAACTTTGAAGAATACGATGTAAAGAAACGGGAGAATGCTGAAAAAATTATTAATCTCAAGAAAAAAATCAAAGAACTCTACGTGAAATATGCGAGAGCGAAAAATGTAAGATAGATTACAAGATAAAATCAAATAACCAGATATATTACATCAGCACAAACTAATGTTAACTTTTTCAGAATAAAGAAGCGATGGAACAGGCAGCTCTGCTGAGCCGTGATTCTATAGCTTGCATAAAGAAAGACAGTTTAGATGAGATTATTGCTACAGCATGCGAGAATAATATGCGTCTAAGAAAAAAGCTAGATTTAACTAAGTACGAAAAAGAAAAGGTAAGAATTTGATCTCAAGAAGAAAAAAATTCTAAATATCGTCGCGAGCGGAAATGATTATTTTAAATGTCTCAACATCTGTATTCTATTAGCAACAACACACCTTAAATGTTTTACAAACAGAAAGCAAGGAATTGATGCATAGACGAAGTCATTGTGTGTTGAAGAAAAAGTCTGAAAATTCGATGAAAAGGGTAAGTTAATTCAAAGTTTCGAAATATAAGTACTTGTAATAAATAATAAATAACTCTTGTAAATGCAATATCTGTTTGTGCAGAAAATCGAGAGTTTGGAAGTTCGATTGGAGCACATTCGAATGATGCAAATTAAAGCGAATATCTCGCGTATGAAATTTCGTTCTGTTTCCTCAGAGTTAAAAGAGAAATCGGTCTTTTACGCCTCATCTTTAAAAGACCTAGAAGACGGTATAAAACAGCAAGAGCACGAGATCAAACGTTTACAGGCAAGGTCATAAGGAGAGTAATGTCGAGATGAGAGTAGTAGAAACGCTTTGGTGTTCCGTTTAAATATCATCATTGATTTCAGGGAGTGAAGGAAGAAGCTATTGAATTAAGAGATAGCACTCAAGAAACCCTGGTGAAGGAAGAAATCGAGGAGACAAACTCTAGCAAAAAACGCGATTTCATCATCAAAGAATACAGGTGCTATATCATTATTACACACACACACACAATTGCATTCCCTAATGATTCTATTAATGATATGCCTTTATTGATAATGTAGCTCTTACAATTTCTTTCTGTTTTAACAATCTGCCATTTGGTTAATAGCTTTTTGTCATTACCTTTCTTTCATTTCACTGTTATATAGTTTAAATAATGAAATGTAATTTAATGCTGAAAATGTTTGCTTTGTCAGACAGCGGGTGTCAGAGAGAAAGATGGAATTGGAACGTTTGGAACGAATGATATTTCATACTCGTCCCCGGGATGATTTCGAAACACGTGGGAAAAATCGTATACAGGTACAAGAAGACATTATCAAGGACGAGCTGGCGCGGCTGGAGGAAACGTTCGCCAAACTGCGGAATGCTACCGGAGTGTCCAGGTCAGAGGAAGTTCTGAACCGGTTTCTGGGTCAGCAGGCGACCAAGGAGAGTCTACAGAAAATGCGAGCGGCAACGGAGCAGGAGAAGGTGATGCTTGAAAAGAAGAGGCAGGAACTCAGCACCGAGATAGAAACGAGAAAATTTTCGGAAACGAAAAGCGCCGAACAGTGAGTTCAGCTTAGAGCAACGAAAATAAAATTAAAGTCACGTTGAATCAAGAGTTTACAATTTACTAACAATTTATTTTAGATTTCAGTTAAAGATACGTTTTTTAACAAATCTATTTCTGATTCACATTTTATAATTAGTATATAAAATCAATTTAAAAAAAAATAAACCACTATAATACTATAACGCTTCAATTTACAATACATTAAATATTTTATAGAAATGCAGAGATAGTGGCAAAACTGAACTCGCAAATTGACGAACAACAATGTCGAAGAGAGAGAGCAGAAATTGCAAGTCGACGAGTGCGGGAACTCCTCAACGATGTAACTAGTACGCTGTATAAATTGTATGAAAAATTTCAGGTGAGAATTATCAATTATAAGTTTATAAACGACAAAGTCTAGAACTAGTCTCATGACTTGAGAAGAATTTCTTAGAGAAAAAGACACTCATGAATTTACAATTCATAAAAAGTGAATTAAAAGCGGATCCAAAAATTAGGACATTCTTAATAAATTTGCAAATAAGTTAGAAAAAAATTTCTTAATAATAATTCATCTTTTATAATAAAATACTATTAAATGAAATAGATTGTAATTATAATTTTGTATATAATAATTTCTAAAATTGTAATAAAAGTCTTTTTCCGAATATTGCATAAAATTTTGAGCGTTTTTAACGTGATCTAATAAAATAAAATAAAAGTAATGACAACAAAAGTATTGACCAAATGGCAGATTGTTAAAATAAAAGGATCTTAATTAGCGCTTTTCCTTCTCTGTGATGTATTCGAAACATGTTGCTGCAAATTATCACATACGGAGGAATAAAGCCTCCGTAATGTCGGAATGGAAATATCATGTAAAAGCCTAATTGAATTAGTAAAATCACCTTTAATGGAACGTCTGCCACGTCGTGCAAACAACTTCGACTATTTCGTCGTTCCTAGAAGCTCAACATCCCTCCTCAGCATCACGTATCGTCGATGAATTTTCCTGAATAGCTCAAGTTTCTATAATTCTCACCTCGAGCGGCAACATCTTTCCGTGCATTAACACCTCGATATTCGATCGAAAATAAACACTTCCTCGAACCTGCAAAGGGAACCACGTGAAAAATCAGTATTGATTCTATCGGAAACAGGATACGTGAAATCTATTAATTTCTAAGAAAATTTCTTCGGAACCATTTGAACATGTTCGTGTTAACAATACCTCTTTAAACACTTTTATGGTGAAAATTCACATCTATTCAGAAACGGATCTAGTATTTACACATCAACGTATTTTAATTATCTTAATTCTAAAGACTAATTTCTTTCAAAAATATTTAGTTTCTTTTGCACAAGAAAGATTATTAATTTCAATTTTAAAAATATAAAAAATTTTTTTTTCTTTAGTCTATAAAATTTCAGATATTTTCTTTATTTGTTAGTGCTTTCATTAATTTTTCTATGCAATGTAAAAAAAAAGTATTACATTTAATTTTAAGTATATTTTAGAAGAATAAAAAAGTGTAATCATATATCAATTATTTCACAGAAATTAATATCTTGTAAGAATGTAATTATAAATTCAAGTTTTCTTTGTGTTTTCATTTTCCACTGTTATAACAGATTCTTTGAAATATAAGTATTAAAATTTATATATATATATAAATATATATATATATATATATATAAATATATATATATATATATTAAAATCTGTAATAATACTTGTTTCTAGCATGCAACAGATACTCCTCTGCTTGAAAATATTAAAATGGATGATACCTTGGCGATTATCGAATTATTGAGCAAACATGGACTCGATGTTTTAAGCGCATCTGACAAATATCTTGAAACAATAGATGAAACGTTACTAGAGAAGGTCAGTTTTGAATTATATCCCAATGAATCAGTTTTAATTCCCATTGAACAAGTTCCTGAAATAAGATCATAAAAAATTATATATTTGCCTTAATTTAAAGGTAGAGTGACAAACAATTTAAAAAATGCTATTATAATTTTATAAAATTTTTTATATTTTACCTATACTTTATATTTTATATCTTATTATATTATTATACTCTTTAGAATGAAAAAAAGCAACAATTATTTTTATGCTATCTATTTGAATGCTTATAAGTTGTCCATTATTGTTATTAATATAGATTAATATTTTACGTTGAATGAGACAATCACTTATTTTTCTATTAATAACAATAATTTTTAGATAACTCTTTAAAACTAAGTAAATAAATTTCTAAACAGTTTGCTATTTTCTGTATAATTTTGCTATGTCCTCTGATAAGCAACTAATTAAATAAAATTCTCAAAGGTTGCTCTCTATTTTCTGCATAGTTTGCTATGTTCTCTGATTTATAAATAATTCATCATTGTTATATTGCTCAAAAAAGATTATTTGAACTTGTAGCTGTTTGTTTCGATAATTTATGGACGAACATTTTACAATGGATTCTTAAATTGACATGATCGACCATAAATAATCCCTTTGTCTTTTAGTTGGAAACAATGTCGGTGGCTACAACTTCGGCAGAAGGTAGAACAATGCGCGTAAATAGTGGCAGGCCATTGTTTCCACAATTTCCATCCTGCGCGATTCCGGCTGTTCCTCTTTCAGAAGACGAAGAAGAAGTCCCATCCCGAAACGTTTTAAAAAGACAAGCACAATTGCTCGTCGATACAAAGAGTCGTCGCAAAGGATTTGCTTTTAGAAGATGAATTGCTAGAATTGCACAAAAACGATTAAAATTAATAAATTTATTTCATATATATATATTCTAAAATAAAATATATATAACAAGATAAATGTACAAAATCCAAGATTTAATTTCTTTTTAATTTCGATTTTTTTACATTATTAATAACTATATCTATATATAGTTTATGTACAGAAAAAAAGATTATTTTTAAAAATTTGTATTTAAATTGCAATATTGTGTGTTGGTTAAAACTATGAAGTTGTAGTGATATTTAATTTATGATTCTATAAAATATTTTTTCTCTATTTACTTTGTATAACATATCAAGTTTGAAATAAATATAATAAATGTACAAGTACAGAATATGTTATAAATAAACCTAAGAATTGCAAATAAAATAATTATCTTAATATCAAATATAGTTAGTAATAACTTATTGTAACAGATATTTTATTATTTCTAAATTAATTTCTAATATGTATAAAACTAGAGAAATTAAATATAGAAGATTTTTGCAAAGCTCAAAACTTTAACAAAAAAATTAATATAATTATTTTACTATTCAGATATAAAATTGTGACAGAAACTGTTAAGTAAAACAAGTCAATTTATTAATTTATATATTAGATTTAAAAAATCTAAAAAGACAGTCTGTTAAAATTTTATCAAGAAAAAAATTGTTCAAAATAAACACTTGAAGAAATAAATAGACATTAATTGAAGATACATGTATATATATGCAGTAACCCTGAAAAATAATATATATATATATATATATATATATATATATATATATATGAATTTTAAATTTTCAATGCAAAATAATATTACACATTTTATGATAAAATAATTCTGAAGATGTAACTGAAATCAGTCGCAAATTACTTTATTTGGTTAGAATATATATATATAAAATTTGTTACACAAATTCCGTGAACATATCTAACAAAATCAATACTTTACCTTCTGATTGCATTTTGAGCATTATTTTGATATGTGCATGTGCATGTAGAAATAAGTTTTCTATTATATCGAAAAGAAAAATAATAGTTCAGTTGGCTCAAAAAAGGCATTGTTCCGCCATCTTGTGAAGACAAGACATAACACCTGCATCAAAATGATGAAACATACAGTAACGCCACCTTACTTCCAGAAATGAAAAACATGCAACAGTCGATAAGATTGTTTGCACCACAGATTAATAGACAGGGGATCGATTGTCTATTTGTGTCGATTTTTCTCACTTTTCGCACATTCATTTCACGTGAAGAAATACACGCGATTGGCTATGAGCAAGATGAAAATACGATATCCCTAGATTCACGGGAGTACAAACCATAGTGAACATTCCGTAAAGCGTATATGCATGCATATATGTTTCAGTGACACAGATTAATAGACAGATCGCCAAAGGCCTGCCTAAAGAAGAGACCGCCATCTTCGTGCGATAGACTTTGCCCCTTACCGACACACTTTGCCCCTGGTTCGAGTCCGTGCTAAATTCGTAGACTTGAACCAAAAGACTTTGCCCCTGGTTCGAGTCCGTGCTAAATTTCGTAGACTCGACCAAAAGACTTTGCCCCTGGTGCAAGTCCAGGCTAAATTCGTTTGACATTACCAACAGACTTTGCCCCTGGTGCGAATCCAGGCTAATTGATCATGAGACCAATTTGAGAGATTTGGCCCCCGTTGTGTGTGTGTGTGTGTGTGTGTGTGTGTGTGAGAGAGAGAGAGAGAGAGAGAATATTTTACATATATGCATATATATATATAAAATTTATTAAATATAAAAAATATATTTTTTACACATAAAATGTTTTTTTATTGAAATAATCACGATTTTAAATGTGATATAACACAGTGTTCAAAAATTTTTTAATTAAATTTTTTAATTAAATTTTATTAAAGAAAATTACTTGAAATTTTTTACATTAAGAATTTAAAGGCTCCTTATTCTCTTGTAGAAATTTATCACTACGCCAATTAATCACTTATTTTGAGTATTTAAAATACTATAATATACAGTAATTTAAGTATTCGAAATAAAAGTGATTAATTACTCGAAATAAGTGATAAATTGGCGTTACTAATAATAAATTTCTATAAGGGTTGAAATAAAGTATAAGAGATAAATAGGCTATATGTGAGCCGTATGCGAAATGTGAGATGTAAGACGCATATTGAAATTTAATTTTTCGATATAACTTTCAAAAATGTACACGAGGTACAAAAAATTAGCTTGGACATTTGTAAGACTTAAAATTGGGATTAATTCTCAATTCTATTAATTAAATTTCGATATAACACACCTTACATCCGCGCACGGCTCACATATATATAGCCCATTTATTAGTGCAATTTTTAAGTTCCTTATTTTTCAAAGTTCACCTTTTTACGTTATCAAATATTTTTACGTTTTCAAGAATTTTATATTTTTACTTACCGCAGTTTCTTATCCAAATGTAAAATCTTTTATCGCAGTCTATAAAAAATTGAAACAATTTACAATTTTATGATATAATATTATTATTATATCATACTAACTGTTAATACATCATGTTAGTACATCATAATAACTGTTAATAAGTAGCAAAATTATCAAGAAGAACGATGATAGGTAAGCATACTACCAATTGTAGGGGATACATATTATAATTTGGACATGCGTTGATCGGTAATTTTTTATAAATCGCAGCGCCTACGGAACGGGTTAATTTCTCGCATATTAACGATGAAACTATCCGAGATCTGAACAAAATCAGGGATTATATCGAGGCGAACATTGTTGGACAGGACGGATTGAAACACGCGTTAATTACTCAAAAACTCTTGATTCTGAATAACTATAATTAAATTTCGATATTATGTGAATTGTAAGAATTTATATTTCAATAATTATACTGAAGAAGACCGCGTGCGGTCGAAACGTTTATAGAATGATTGTAATTTGCGTTAGTTTTAATATAATGACTGTAGTTTTATAATTTATACATGTAATAAATGGTAGTTGACTGAACATCTCGAATATTCAGCTCGATAAGTTGGCCTTATATTTATCACTTTGTTTTCAATATTATTATTATTACAATTTCTATATATATGCACATCTGTCAAATATCGTGATTTATTTCACATTATTATTATCTATTTTAATAAAAAAAAACAAAAACACTTGCAACAATCAAAAATAAACCGCCTGCCGCGAACGGAAAATGCCAAGAAAGCACGCAATTTCCGCGAATCTCGTAATTTTTTTGAAAAATCAACAATTTCAACGAAATTGTAAATTCTTCAAATCACTGCACAAGTATAATTCACAATAATAATTTTCAGTAACTACGATAAAAAATCGTATACTGAAAACCGCAAACGAAAGTGCAATAGGAGTAAGAGTAAAGTCTGTGATAAAATTAATTGGCAATAGAAAATTAATAATTTTCAAATAGAAAAATTTTGAAATTACCGAGGATTTACAAATAATAAAGTAAAAATATTAAATAATTTATGTTTTCGAATTTTGCTCGCGGAGAGGATCTTTAAAACAAGATTTTTAGAAGAGAGGACCTTTAAAATATAAACAGGCAAAAACGTTGGAAAAATTAAAGCGCGCGTTTAAACAGATAAACGCAATGAAATAAATACGCAATTGTTTTTACTTATCGCTGTAAGCTCACAAGCTTCTGACGTGCTATACACTTTTATATAATATATACAAGGTGTCCGGTAACTAACGGACCAATGATTAAGGGCGGATTCTCTGGCCAATTTGGAGACGATTTTTCCTTAGCAAAAATGTTGAGAAGTCAATAATTTTCGAGTTATAAGCGATTGAAAAAAATAGGTTTTTTGAAAACTAAACGTTTTGGAGTTAAAAGTCTAACATAATTACATTCTTCAGTTAATTTCAGGTAGAGTTTACTATAATAAAATTTTAATTTAAGGCTTAGTTATAAAGATACATAATGACAAAGATTGGAAAGTTGTAAAAAATGATGACCTTTTTCGACATTTTCGCTGAGGAAAAATCGTTCCCAAATTGACCAAAGAATCCATTTGTAATCATTGGTCTGTTAGTTACCGGACACCCTGTATATTGGACACGAGTTTCGTTTGTTTCAGATTCTCGAGAGTTGAAGTAGGAACATACGAGTATCATATATCGTTTGTGACTTGCCGAATGAAAGCAAGACAGAGAGCGAACGAGATGATGAGCTTAATAGCTCATAATGTTATAAATAAATAAATAAAAAATTATAACCTGACCTACTAGTTATTGAATCTTTTTTTAATAAAATGTTTCATTATTATTATCATCTAAGTCTAAGTCGTTTAATTACTTTTTAGTTTTTTAATAATTAATTTAATTTATTCTAGTCATTTTTATATGAGAAAAATAATATCACGTATACGTTTTATAATGAATTAATATATTTCGGGAATCGAATTATATATTCTTAATAATATAAAAGTGTTCAAAAATTATATTTGACTTTTAATTTTAATTATTTTATAGCAAAGAGTTCCGAAATCTCTTACACACATAATGGGGATTTTTTTCATCCATATAATTCGCAATTAAGTATATATGTTAATTATTAATTTTAATAAAATAAAAATTAAAATTAAAGGTCAAATATAATTTTTAAACACAAATATATTAAATTAATTATAAAACGTATACCCATGATAGTATTTTTCTCGTACAAAAATAATTAGAGTAAATTAAATTAATCATAAAAGATTAAAAATTAATTAAAGAATTTAAACTTATATTTTATATAATAATAATAAAACATTTTATTACGTCAAACCGTCGTGAAATAATTAAATAAAATTTGCTAGTTACGTCAAAGTTTTCTAAGCTTATAAAACATTTTATTAAAAAACAGATTCAATAAATATAAGTACATGTTATATATATACTTATATTTATTGAATCTGTTTTTTTTATAAAATGTTTTATTATTATCATATATAATATAAATTATTTAATTATTTTTTAATTTTTTTATGAGTAATTTAATTTGTTCTAGTTATTTTTGTACGAGAAAAATACTATCACGCGGGTATACGTTTTATAACGAATTAAATATATTTATGTTCAAAAATTATATTTGACCTTTAATTTTAATTTTGTATTTTATTAAAATTAATAATTAACATATATACTTAATTGCGAATTATATGGATGAACAAAATCTCTATTATGTGTGTAAGAGATTTCGGAACTCTTTGCTAAAATAATTAAAATTAAAAGTCAAATATAATTTTTGAACACTTTTATATTATTAAAAATATATAATTCGACTCTCGAAATATATTAATTCATTATAAAACGTATACGTATTAGTATTTTTCACATATTAAAATGATTAGAATAAATTAAATTAATTATTAAAAAACTAAAAATTAATTAAACGACTTAGACTTAGATGATAATAATAATGAAACATTTATTAAAAAATAATTATAATAGGTCAGGTTAATATTTTATTTATTTATTTATTTATAACATCATAAAATTCTGTCCTTTCCGAAATACGCGAACGCTACGAAAAGATAAATCTCGTACATGCCGCCGGACGAGTTCATGAGCATGAGACGCTCTTATCTTGGGAACGTATTAATAGTTACTGCATTGACTACTACTACGATATGGCGCTGAAATCAGTGAGAAATGCTGGTCTCTCCTTCATCCAGACCTTTGGCGATCTGTCTATTAACAGAGAGAAGGATGAGAGTGGTCATCCCCTCGATTTAGCTGCAACCGGAATTCAAAGCGCCTCTATGTGCACAAAACGTGCACATTGAACTACGTAGCCATGTGCACGATGCTCCCGAGTGGTAACAGGCTATGTGCACGGTACGTGGTTCGATTCCGTGCTATGTGCACAGATGAGCGCCAGTAACACGTAGCTGTTAAAGGAGATGAGTTCGAGACCTCGCAGGGCCAATTTTTTTTTTTTTTTTTTTTAGTACGACTATATTTGTCAATTTAATGAAATCCTTTTAATTATTGTGGAATAAAGAGATAAAATGCATTTCTCAAGCGTACGCGAGAAAATCGAAATCAAAAATAATGAGTGCCGTATAAATACGTATGGAATAGAGCGTTATATCGAAGAGCGTGTGGCGTAGCGTTAAGGGGCTAGACACGTACCGTCGAGGTTAGAGGTTCGATTCTCAAGGAGTGACTTTTTTTTTAATATTTTTTTATTTTAAATAAAATTTTTTTTTACCATAAAATGTAATTTTTACACAAAATAAATGTAAATAACACGATTTATTTACTTATAACACGTATATTACAAAAATGCATTTTTCTTTGCCTCAAAAAGCCGTGAAAAGCCGTCTGTAGAATAGCTGTATGCGATAGGAACTTGTATGATTATCTGTTTAATTAAAAATTATCCGATTTATGTCGTGTTTGGTGTCGTTGAAATCGCAAAAATCTCAATAATCCATTAATATTATTTTCGAATAGATAAAATGCAAAATAAAGGTTTTAGTTTTTCACTTATAAGATGTTTATATTTGTGAATTGCCATGGATGGGGAAGCCTATTGTTCGAGAGTTCGGAACGTTCTTTGATCTCGATACTCGGGCGCTCGGGCCCGCTTATCTTTTCGAGCTCATCTCACAACTCGTCGTGTGCGAGAGAGAAAGCGAGACTGCGAGTATAGAGCGAGCGAGAGGACCTATCATCAAAGAAAGTTCCGAACTCTCGAACAATAGGCTTCCCCATCCATGGCAATTCACAAATATAAACATCTTATAAGTGAAAAACTAAAACCTTTATTTTGCATTTTATCTATTCAAAAATAATATTAATGGATTATTGAGATTTTTGCGATTTCAACGACACCAAACACGACATAAATCGGATAATTTTTAATTAAACAGATAATCATACAAGTTCCTATCGCATACAGCTATTCTACAGACGGCTTTTCACGGCTTTTTGAGGCAAAGAAAAATGCATTTTTGTAATATACGTGTTATAAGTAAATAAATCGTGTTATTTACATTTATTTTGTGTAAAAATTACATTTTATGGTAAAAAAAAATTTTATTTAAAATAAAAAAATATTAAAAAAAAAGTCACTCCTTGAGAATCGAACCTCTAATCTCGACGGTACGTGTCTAGCCCCTTAACGCTACGCCACACGCTCTTCGATATAACGCTCTATTCCATACGTATTTATACGGCACTCATTATTTTTGATTTCGATTTTCTCGCGTACGCTTGAGAAATGCATTTTATCTCTTTATTCCACAATAATTAAAAGGATTTCATTAAATTGACAAATATAGTCGTACTAAAAAAAAAAAAAAAAAATTGGCCCTGCGAGGTCTCGAACTCATCTCCTTTAACAGCTACGTGTTACTGGCGCTCATCTGTGCACATAGCACGGAATCGAACCACGTACCGTGCACATAGCCTGTTACCACTCGGGAGCATCGTGCACATGGCTACGTAGTTCAATGTGCACGTTTTGTGCACATAGAGGCGCTTTGAATTCCGGTTGCAGCTAAATCGAGGGGATGACCACTCTCATCCTTCTCTCTGCTATTAATCTGTGGTTTCACGATGTAGTTCACGTCTACTTTCTCAGAGGGCGCATTAGTACACGCGTACACTGAATCGCGATGGCCGCTCTCAGGTTTCTCTCTGATTCTATCTATGATTGTGGATCGCAAAAATCCCTAGAACAGAGTCCTAGGGATTCTATAGATATGGTATATTTCCTCTCTTTATGAACGTAATCTATGGATTTGAAGGATTTTGGAATTGTCACACGTGTATTTGTATATAATTGAATAAAAATGGGGTTCAAAAGGAAGAAGCGAGATGACAATGATCACGAATACGATCTCCCTCCGAAACATTTGCAAATAAGTCATATCAAAAATCAGGAAAAGCGTCTTATTGTAATATTGGAGAAGGCCAGTTAGAATCTGTGAAGGTGAGGTTATGATTTCTTTCTTGTATCTATAGATACTTACAAATTTATAAATATTTCTCTTATTATTATAAATTATTTCTTTGAATTCATGAATTTAACTTTGTTACATGTAATTAAATTTGTTACATGTAATTTATTTTTGTTACATGTAATTATTACATGTAATTAAATTTGTTACATGTAATTTATTTTTTTACATGTAATTATTACATGTAATTAAATTTGTTACATGTAATTTATTTTTTGTTACATGTAATTATTATCTGTTTATAATAAACAGCTAATATTATATAAATGCAAAAAGCATTTGTATAAATTTTTGACACTTGCAAGCTTATATTAAAATAAGGGCAAATTAATTTATTATAAAAAAAAGGTAAGACTCTTCTCTTGACCGTACTGGCAAATATTATTTATTAAATCACAACGTTTCGACCCTTCTTTGAGTCCTTATCAAGTGATCTAGATATACATAGAGAAGAAATACAGTACAGAGATTAATACAATAAAAAAAGTTACTTTACTTAACAATATTACAAAATAATAAAAAGAAGCGAAACATACTTGTGAAAATAAAAATAAAATTATAATTTTAAGATGTCAAGAACGAACATAGTGTCGGTTTGACAACACGTCAAGACTTTTAGACGAGTTATGAGAGACTCCAAGGGTCGAAATGTTGTGATTTGATAAATAATATTTGCCAGTACGATCGAGAGAAGAGTCTTACCTTTTTTTTTAAATTCTGTCTGGCGATTCTCAAATATCTACGTTTTTATTTATTTAATTTATTATGTTTACACTTTCTTCAGGTTGGAAATAGCTTTGAATTATTAAATTGTGATGATCATATAAGTATTTTAAAGAAACACAATCGTGACGCAGGCTCATGCAGACCAGATATTGTTCACCAGTGTCTGTTAATGTTGATGGACAGTCCGTTAAATAGAGCTGGACTATTGCAAGTCTATATTCATACAGAGAAAAATGTACTGATAGAAATTAATCCACAAACGAGGATACCAAGAACATTTAAACGTTTTGCTGGATTGATGGGTGAGTGTCGACAATGTGTATTTGTCTTTATTATACACAGTGCATTTACAAAGTTTAAGACATTACTTAAACATAAATCTGAGAAAAAAACTAATTCTTGTTTAATCTTGAACATAATTTCCCTATAAGTGTTTTATATCATACAGCATCTGGATGCCTTTGTAGAATTCTTGTGTTGAAATGTTATATATAATTTACTCATTATTTTGGCTGTTTTTTTTACTAGATGAAATCAAAATAATGTCTCTTTAATTGCAATTTTACTTTAAGAGACAGAAAATAATCGTCAAGTGTTAAAATCTAGCAAGTAAGGAAAGAGGGTAAGAACAATAAAATATATTACTTTGAAAGAAGTTATTTGACAATTTGTCACAATTTAACTATGTTAGGCAGTTCCTTATTTGCTAGATTTAATGTTAATTATTAGTTTTAGATAATCATATATTGATAAATAATCTTATCTCAAAGTTTTCTCTTAAGGGTCGGCAGGCGACATGGTGGAGACGCCTATCGGCCGGCCGGGAATTACGGATTCTTATTTTCCAGATATTAGCGAAAATATTGAATGAATCTTATTAAATTTAGGATATTCTTAATCAGTAAGCTCATTTGTAGTCCTCTAAAGAGCTATTTTATGAAAAAAAGATAAAAAAAAAATTTTTAATAAACTTGGGGGAATGCACAGCTAGGAACGGGTAAGGTTGGGTTAGCCGCGAGTCCGTATTTTATTTATTATAAATTTTTAAGAGCGAAAATGTAAAATCCGGCCTTTTAGAGGACTGCTTTATTATATAAAGAATATATTAAAAAAAATTCACGAAGTTATGTCACTTATTTTATGAAATATCTGGACGATAAGATTCTCACTAGATTCATAAGGAGCAGGGGAAATTTCTGTGGTAACATGCTGACTGCTTGACAAGGAGAGAGCATCATTCCATCTTTGTCTCTCTTACATCGCATATGTAGTAGCGTCCATGTAGGTACAAACACTAATACGTGAGCACACGGATGCAAATATTGAGAGATAATGTCAGCAAAAAGGCTATCATATTATTTTTATTTTTTTGTATATGTATGCATATGTAAATAAAGAACAAAAATAAAAACTATTTTAAGATGACATTTTATAATTAATTTTTTATATGTATTTGCATTTTATTAATATATATTACATTTTTGATATGTTTTTAATTTATAATTTATATAAACATAAGTATGAAATAAAAATTGAAATAGTTCTGAAAATAAGTATATTAATGATAAAATTATTCAAAACAATAAAAAAATTAAATTTAATATTTTTTAGTGTTTGTACCTACATGGACGCTACTACATATGCGATGTAAGAGAGACAAAGATGGAATGATGCTCTCTCCTTGTCAAGCAGTATTAAAAGCCATATTAAAAGCTCTAGCTTCATTCAATTAATAATCCAATATAATAATCAACAATTATTTTTATATAATATATAGTATTTTTAAATATTTTTAAATATTTAAAAATATTTTTTTTAAGATTAATTGAGGAAAAGAATATTTTAAATATAAAAAATATTTTAAATATTCTTTTTCAATTAATTTTTAAAACAAATTTTAAAAATATTTTTATATATTCAAATACTTATTATATTATATAAAAATTATTGTGAATTATACTCATTGGAGTAATAATTATTGATTGAAGCTTGTTATGGCACAAACTGAACATCTTGTACATTGTCTGTATAATATTTTACTTATTTATAAAATGTTTTTTATAAATAAATGAAATATATATATATATAATATATAAGATTATAATATATAAGATTATTGATGTTACATTGTATAACTCTCATTTCTTTCTCTCTGCTACATAAGTACTTATGACGTGAAAGAACTTACGAGTAACGTATGATGGCTCAATGCAAGAATATTTAATCACGTAAAAAACTTGAGTTCAAATATATCAATATCAATTTTTTACAATATATTGGAATATAGAAAATCATAGAAATATATTTTTATATAGGCGATAAACTTAAAAATTTGATATTGAAAATATTTTAATCATTTTACAACTACACATACTATAAATATATAAATGCAAAATAATTCCGTAAATAAATTTCAAGTAATAAATCAATTGCACACATGCACACAGCTGGTATGTAGATTTTTATTAAATTTATTTTCTGAATTATTTTACACTTATATATAGTGTATGTAGTAAAAATATTTTCAATATATTAAAAATTTTTAAATCGCCGAAATATATTTTTTTATCATTTTTCTATATTCTAATATATATATATATATTATAAAAAAATTGATATTGATATATTTGAACTCTAATTTATATACTGGATGATATACTGAACATCCTTGCATTGATTATACATTACTCAACGTTCTTTCACGTTATAAGTATTTGGAGCAAATTATACAATAGCATCAATAATCAAAAAGAAATCAAGAATATAATCAACATATCCCTTATATAATATATATATATATATATATATATATATATATATATATATGTTATATATATACGTTATGCACATATGTGCATAACCATATATACAATTTCCAAAAAGTGGGTGCTTATTAGTCTTGCTACGTTACTGCTTTCTGCTACGGAAGGCCAGAAAGCATTTTCAGGCGGCATCTCGCGTATACCGGCACGGTAGATGAACAAGGAGAACACGTGATTATCGGTCCTTGTCTCTCTTACGTGCGTCCGCGTGAGCGATGCAGTTGGTGTATGTACGTGTACAGACATACACCACTACATAAAACCCGAGAATTGGTTTCTCGGCGTTGGCAACACTGAAACCGGAGTTTCGCGTTGTCACCGCACGAGGTCTCCAATATCAATTCGGAGTTTGCCTGGGTGTACTGCCGACCCTTAATGACTCTAATTCTATTAGAACTCATTTAAAACTCTATTAGCCATCTGCTGATTAGTTTCTATTTTTCTAAAGTAAAATTGGAATTAAACGGCTATATTGATTCCATCTCACAATCAAAAATTTCTCAGAGGTATTCACAGAAGCTGTACACTTATACCAATTAATACACTACAAAAAGATTATGTTGAAGACTAGACGAAATTTACAACACTTTTTTTGAAAGATTTATTAGATTTATTATTAGATATACATTGAGATATGTATATTATTTTTAATTAATGTAGCTTTAAAACTTTAGACTGTACTGTATAGTTGGTAAATTTATATGAATTTATAAATTTATATTAGTAAATATAAATTCATATTAGTAAATATAAATTCATATTAGTAAATTAATATAATAAATATTATATTACAGTACAATTATTGCATAAATATGGTGTTAGAGCATCTGATGGATCAATGAAACTTCTTAAAGTAATTAAGAATCCCATATCAAATCATTTGCCAGTGGTTGCCATAAGTTATTAATGTCATTCAGTGCAAACAAAATATTAAATCCACGAGAGTTAGTACCTTCTGAAGAACCAATTGCTATCGTAGTTGGAGCTATGGCACATGGCCAAGTAAATTCTTATATTATATTAAAAATGTTGCTATTACATTAAAAGAGTTATTGTGGATCTTTTATATATTTATTTTTTTTAGGTTGTAACGGATTATACAGAGGATACTATTCGATCAGCAACTATCCTCTCTCAGGTGCTGTTACATGTAGCAAATTATGTACAGCATTTGAAGAAGTTTGGGGAATTGTCTAATAAAAAGTTCTTTTTTTTTTTTTGTAAAATTAATTTTTTATAAAATTCTAAAATATTTATAAAAAATTGGCTTTTATAAATAACTAAACTTTTTATAAAAAAAAAAGCTAAATTTTTTCCAAAAAAAAATTAGACATAAATCAGCTATTTAATTTTAATATTTTCAAAATCTTTTTCCAAAAACTAAATTAATGTCATGTAACTAGTAAAAATTTACTTATGTTATATTTTTGTTTATTTTTTATTCACGATATTGTTATCCACTTGTATAATTATTCAGATTAGTTTTAGATAATGATATATTGATAAATAATCTCTTATCTCATTAGAACTCAATTAAAACTCTATTAGTATTAATACAGAAAAAATTTATTTGTGACAGTTTCTCATACATTCTTCGAATTCTTCTATTAAAATTATTTGGAGAATTTATTTCATCTGGTATTGTAAAGAAGGTAAAAACTTTCATTTTTTGATAATAATCTTTTAATTATTCAGATTAGTTTTAGATAATCATATATTGATAAATAATCCTTATCTCATTAGAACCCAATTAAAACTCTATTAGTATTAATACAGAAAAAATTATTCGTGACAATTTCTCATACATATTCTTCTATTAAAATTATTTGGAGAATTTATTTCATCTGGTATTGCAAAGAAGGTAAAAACTTTCATTTTTTGATAATAATCTTTTCGGTGAAAAAAAAATTCTAAAGATTCTAAAGGTACTTTAGACAGCTAGGAAAAACTGTATTTTTATTGATTGTATTGTAAACACAATGCCACTAAAAATTCACAATTAATAAGAATTTTTCATTCGTGACAATTTGTCATACGTTTTTCTTTTCTTTGTATAAATTATTGGTATGTATTCTTCCCGTGCATTGCTGTTTTCTTGAATCTGTTGAAAATAGCTTGAAGTCGTTTGGAAAATTCTGTTTACCTGATACTACAAATAAAAGAAAAACTTTATGGTCGTCCCTTTGAGAAAAAAATACAAAGGTTTTAGGGTCAGTTGTATCAGTTTCTTAATACATTTTATCTGACAGATAATATATCTGTCAGATAAAATGTATTAACCCGACAGATAGTATATCTTTGTTTCTTCTCAGGTATATTAAAAAAAAAAAAGGACGAACATATGCTATCTGTCGGGAAATATTCACCAAGAAGTTGGAACAACCGGGTCTTAGGTAGGTTTTAGGAATTATTTCTACTGACTATTGTGAACACGATGACGTGTATAGAAATTCACAGTAAATATAAAAGAATTTGTTATTATATAACAATTTTACATTTCTATTTTCTTTGAATTGGCAATTAAAATTATTTGGAAATTCTTTTATATACAGTACTACAAATAAGATCAAAATTTTTATTTATAATCGTCAGTTTTTCCTCGAAAAATATCAATTTTATGTTAGACACAGATGAGAGAATAAAATTTTTTTGTTATTTTTACGGGCTGCAGTATAGAAATGCGATAACATTAAAATTTGCAATTAATATATAAGAGAGAATTTTTTCGTAACATTTTTTTGTTTCCTTGGAATCTGCTGTTGCTAGAATCATGTGGAAAATTCCTTTTACCCGATGTTACAAATAAACTTTGACTTAGGCTTAAAATTCCTTTGAATAAAATCACAAAGGTTTTATTGTTTGTTTAAGAAGAATAGGATGTCAAACTATTATCTATTATTTGTACTGGTTATAGATGACGTTAGGAATTTGTAATATAAAAGAATTTTATTTTTATGTTTTCATATATATTCTATATATATTATTATAAACGCAATTGACATTAAAATTCATAATTTATATTTTTTATTTGTAAAATGAATTTTTTGTTTGTGACAACTTTTTTTTATACTTTGCACGTTTTTACTTTGAATCGACACTCATAATTACTTGGATAATTTCTTTTACAATATTTATAATGTTATGAATATAAGAAATCGAAACTTTATTCATAATTATAATTATTTCCTCGAAAAATCTTAGTTTTACATTATAGATACAGAGATGAAAGAAGGAAAATCTATTGTTATTATTTCTATATTGATTATATTACATATAAACGTCAATTGACATTAAAATTCGCAATTTATTTATATTACTTATCAAATAAATTTTGTTTGTGACAACTTATTTATTTTCTTTTTTTTACTTGTACGTTTTTATTTTCTTTGAATCGCCAATCAAAATTATAAATAAATAAGAAATCGAAATTATTTATTCATAATTATAATTTTTTTTTTTTTTTTTTTTTCGAAAATCTCAGTTTTACATTAGATACAGGTGAAAGAAAGAAAACCTAGAAAACCTATTGTCATTTCTATTGATTATATATTATATTACATATAAACGCGTAATAATATTAAAATTCGCAATTAATATATATAAACAAGAAATTTTTAAATCTCGACAACGTTTTCTTTTTTTCTTTGAATTCTTTACTGGTGACAATCATTTGAAAAATTTCTTTAATTAATTTTTAATGACATAATACTAAACGAATATAATAGAAGATAAGATATTGAAACTTTCACTTCGTAATCGCATTATATATATCGTATTTCTTCGAAAAGTGTCAAAGTTTGATACGGGGAGGCAGGTAGGAGAATGAAAAGCTATTGTTATACATCTATTGACGAATCGTAAACGCAGTGACTCATCAATATTTCAAAGCTCTTGGACGATTGGAGAAAATTCCAAAGTGTAATTGACACAGGCCAATCGTCGTTCAGAACAGGCGGCTTAAAATGCAGCCGGAAACCGGGAAACGCGCAGAGTCGTCGACGCTTCCATCGCGTGTCTAGTACGCATATCGTAGTACGTATTTCTTTTTTGACTTTCGTATTTCGGTTGCGTCATCGAAGTAGCACGAGTAGCTTTTATCAATCACCGAGTATCCGTTGAATTGTACGGAGAGGCGTCCCGCTCTTTCTCTCTCGCTCTATCTTTCGCGAGAAGTCGCCGTATCTGTCAGATACGCAACGACCTCACTGCGATTACGTAGCGCGAATCAAGATCGTCCGAGAGTGTAAGAGGTGGTGATCCAGAGTCCAGAGTGAAATCCCGAGTGCACACGAGTCGCCATTTTGTGTGCACGCGAAGAGAGACGCGTCCCGACACGTGTCAGCTGATTCATAGGACCTGTTAAACATGGATGGAAAGACGGTGTTGGTTGGAAATCAAGAAACTAAAATGTTTATCAGTTTTTTTTTTATTTCTCATTAAGCATGCTTCACAATTAATATGGGCCACCTTCCGACGTCTCGTTTGACTTTCGTAGTGGCCTGCGGTCACGAGTCCGCGATATCTGCCGATGTCGAAGTGACAGGTGACGTTTCGTGACGTTTTTCGCGGGAGCGAGGCGCCCGAGCCGCGTCTCCGAGCGCGATATCGAGATTATATTCGACGTCCACGTTCATCACGTTTTCCCGGCGTCCCTCGACGGTGCGACGGACACGAGGTAAAAGGTCAAGCGTCTACGTGTCGCCATATTGATTGCGCGTTCGCAGGCGGAACGCGGTGACGACGTACGTACACGTCACTGGACGCGTGAATCGCGCGGAATTTATCGCCACGTGCTCGTCCACCCTTTTTTTTCCATCGTTTATACATGTTTATTCACGCGATGCGAGCAAGGGGATTCTCGTATATTCGGTTAATGTCTCTTTTAAGGCCGGCAATTATGGATTTTGCGCCTCGTCGAGGCTGCTTTTACCCATCATGCGTCGCGTGGCAACGGCAGAATCGTGGAATCGGACCGTTACTCGAGACGCTGCGATTGATATATATATACACATACATACTTATATATATATATATCTATATAAAAGTTGCAAGGTTAGATTTCGCATTTCGGCAAATTAAACGCGCCGGGCGCGCGCTTTTTCCGTACAAGTGACAAGAGATTGATTAGACGAGGGTCGCTTTTGGCATTTATCGTTGGAGAAACGATCGATTTTTTTTTTTTATTATTATATTGTGTACCCGTCGCGAAAAGTGCATTATGGGTGAACACGAAACGATGGAAATTAACCATTAATTTTCGGATTGGACAATGTAAACAGATATATATACATACTCAACTATTGCAAATAAAAGATTTACAAGTAATTATATGCATGCGTATTCCTACCGTCCGTACTATATATAGAATTCCGTAGAATATTATATAATAAGTATTTATATATTTTTAACCTTCAAGAGGTTCTGGATACATACATCATCTATCATAATAAGATATCTTAAGTTTCTAGAGAATATCTTGTAACACAAGTTCCAAAGTTTCTTCGATAAAAATAGATAAAATTCTACATATATATATATATATATTCACGTTTCTTATCAAGGGATGCTAGACGACGCGATAACGAATCAAGCCCAGGGTGAGTTCGTTATCTAAGCCCGCCCGGCGATAAAAGTTCGAATCTCCCGCGCCCGCGCTCGGGCTCGCTCGGTTGCGCTCGGGCTCGCTCGGCGGCGCTCGGGTCTACTTGGCGGGCGCTCGGGCTCGCTCGGCCGACACTCCGGGACGGGACGCGCGCGCGGAACGGCGGAACGGGACCATTTCAGTACGTCGCGGAAGAATGCGTAGCCATTGTTGGTGCTGCGATCGTTGCTTCCCTTAGATTCCGTTCATCGTCATGGGCCAGGACACCGTCGCGCTTACGTGCGTGAGAACGTCGTCGCGGTTCGGCGCCGGCCATTGATACACATTAATTTCGGGAGAACGCTCCGCCGCCGGAGGTTGGCCGCGGGTTCGGGATTCGGGCCTCGCCGCGTCTCTTCTGTCCACCGCGGCCGCGCGTCACCGCGTTTCTCTCCTCCCGTAGTCGACGGGCGCTCGCGCCGAGTGAGAGTGAGTGAGTGAGTAGTATATTAACCCACGGTGGGGCGCGCACTATACTCGCGCTCCTGGCCGCCATAACACCAACCGCCGCGACCAACCAAACCAAAACCGAACGCGAGAGAGAGAGCGCTCTCGGCCCGAGGAGTCGGTTTTCCTCGAGGAGGACGGTGTTCGCGTTGGTGGTGGTGCGCTATTCCTTAACATTATTCGCGGTGCTTATTTTCCCCGTGGACTTCCGCAAGTCAGGTAAGCGATCGCACACGGGGATCTCTCCCTTCGTAAACGGGAAAAACGCTCTCCGAAAAACGGCGGCCCGTGAAGAGACGAGAAAGGGTGGGGAGTGGCGGCGTACAAAATTCCGGGGCCGCGCGCGGACGGCATTTTTTGGCGTGTGAGTGAGCGCGTGTGACGCGGAGGCTTTCCTCTTCCCGAAGCGAGAGCGCGGCCATCGAGAGAGAACAGACCCGCCATGTTGAGACCTACGCCGCCGAATCGAGGTGTCCGGTAAGTGTCCGGATTTCCGCGCGAAGGAGAACTCGGCGGCTCCAAGTCTCTCTCTCTCTCTCTTTCTCTCACTCGGAATTCTCACGGCGTCATTTCTCTCTCTCTCTCTCTCTCTCTTTCTCTTCCTCTCGCGCGCTCGCTCCGCTTCCTCCCCCTCCCTCCCTCCCCCTTCTTCGTCGTGGCGCCAGTCAACTCGTTCACTCGACTGATGGATGGATGGTTGGATGGTTGGTTGGTCCGATGAATCGTCCGGACGGCTTGTATTTTGTGTTTGGGCGCGGAGTTCTATTCTGTGTGAATTCTCAGTATTTTTCTGACACCTCCTTCTCTGTCTGTTTGCCGCCATCGTCGACGTCCTTCGTTCCTCCTCGCCGCCACGCTTTATTCCTCGTCCATGGAGATCTGTTCTTCCTGCCTCGAGAGCACCTGTTCGGATTTTCGATTCCGGAAGGAATTTTAGTCTGTCGCGATTTTTTTTTTTTTTTTTTTTTTTTTTTTTTTTTTTTTTTTTGGGCTTCCCTTCTTCCTCTCCCGCGCACCGCCAATTTTGCATTCTAATAGCTATCTCACTTTCTAGACCAAGCGCGTGTACCACTTATCTGTGCCACTTTTGTCAAACTTTCCATTTGGCTTATCCGAACTTTCCATTTTTGGCCACCGAGGGATACACGACAAGTGTTTTTTTTTTCTTTTTTTTTTGTGTATCTTCTCCTTTTCGTGGTCCAGTTCCAGAGTCTGTCTCTCTCACTCGTGTGTTTGCGTGTGGACTTCCAGAATTTTTCATTTTCAAATGTGTAATTGTTGATCTCTATGTTTCTCCTTGTACAAAAAAAATAGTCCTAGTTGCTTCACACAAGTACAAAATTGTTATCGCTGAAAGTCTTCTGTTGTACAAATTTTAGTTGTGATCGTTGAACATTCCTTTTGTGTAGATTTAAGTTATATAGGCCATTAGACTGGTATTAAATTAATGTCTTTCTTTAGTTTATATATGTATCTATAGAAATAATCACTTTTTTTTCTCAAAGTATATATTTAAGATGTGTATGTATATATATATATATAGTTGGAAAAATTTTAAAATCAATTTGCACTTTTCTTGAAAGTATTACGTAAATGTAGCCTCAAGATGTTAATTTTCCATCAATCTTGAATAAAAGATAGAAACTTTGAAAAAAAGTAATTTTGTGTGGCTTTTTTATATGAAGAAAGATGCCAAGATTATAAACGTTACATTCAAATAGCGTAATATAATTATATTGAACTTGAAAGTTTTTAACGTGTAACATTCAACATATACGTATATATTTAATTTTGTATTAGTAAAACTCTTATCGTAACAACATAATATTATATATTAAAAATAGTATTCCGATACAGTATTTGAAAGAGAAATACTTAATTTGCACATATTTCCATTGAGAATCTGTCAATATATAGCAATACGCAGTAAAGAATAGATTTCGCTTTTCCAGCATGATATCTACTAGATTCAGTTTTGCATGATATGTTAAATAATAAAAAATTGCATATATAAATTTCTTGAAAGTACATCTCGATATACAAATCATTCTAAAGCAATGAAACAATTTTTTGGGGTTGTTACACAATGGGGTCCTATTGTTATGTTATCCAGATGTTGCTAATGTCGCGAGTCTTACCTGGAGGTACGGAGTCTCACAGCAGTATACAGGGCTGACATTCAAAGTACTACCATTTGGTAGACTTGAGTAGTGTTATGCCTCCTCGGCACCAATCTTCCTCGTCGCAGCGCAATCGTCTTGGCAAGCAATTAATGAGCTGCTATGCTCAATTAAGAATATATACTTGCCATCTCAATTGTTGATGAAGCCTCATAGCGTCAAGCATCAACGTAAGGCAGTTACCTGCTACGTAGCATTTATGTATCATATATGTCGGAAAGGTAGGTGAAGCTCATTATCGTGACCTGAATGAGCATATATTATAAACGATTAATTGAAAAGAGAAAATATATATACATATCTATGTAACAAGACATTTAATAAGCGTTCAAATGTATCTTTGATACATTACATGCATTATTGAGTTGAGAAAATATAATCTGCAGAAAGATTCGGTAAATTTCAACTTTGGGAAAAAATGAATGAAAAAGATATAGGAGTGTATACTAAATGAAGTCAAAGATAAACATTGGTATTCCTTTATCAAAAGATAATGATGCAGTTTACTAGATAGGATTGACTAATTCTGACTCTTATCATAAAATTAGCATACTACATAAATAAATGCTCCGATATATGAGTGTCATGCAATTTAACTAACACGATAGCCTCTATTTTATTTTAATTTTTTATTTTATAAATAAAACTTATGGTATTTTCTTTCTGTTGCAGAAACGAAGTCAAGATGCAGCAGGTGGACACTATCTCGCAGAACAATTCTGTAAGTAATTAATATTTTGCGATAGTGTAGAATATGCAGCTGGCTTTTACTTACTCACTAACGCAATATTTCATAGCTGCATTACATTTTGTGATATTTCTACACTATCCGTCATATCCCATGTAGTTTTTTAATGCATTACATATTACACAGCATCATTATTTCTAATATAATGTGTTTAATTTTGTAAAGACACATTTCTCTCTTACTTATCTTGAAATAATTGTATATAAATTACATGTTCAATATTTTATTACAAATAGCACATTGTTTTTTACATGTTGCTATCTTATTATACCTCCATGGCTGTGTAATAGATTTTTTACATCAATTTTTATCTTTCCCACATGTTTGGATATATATTAATTTCTAATATTCTGTTTGCAAATTTCATTTTTTGCATAACTTCCTATGTATACAATATATTACACAAACATATACATACTTTTAACATCTAAAAAAGAGCATTGTTTTGACTGAATAGTATGATATATATGAATTACAGTTAGATGTGGAGGAGCGAGAAAGGCTGTGTAATATACCGAAGGTGAGATGCCTTGTTGACTATAGTCTCAACTAGGATAGTTGTTGAAATTATAATTGGCAACTAATAATATATGCTGTTATGAATAATTAGTAATTTCGCTTTCTGTCAAAGTAGTAGTAAATACACATATAAGCTTATAAATAAAATATTAGTATTCTACAGAATTTATAAATAATAAATTTCTTATAAATATTTTTTCTAATATAAATTTTGTTATAAAATTATTAAAATCCATTCATATATATAGGAGCAAGATTCTTCTTTCATTTTGCTCACCATGTTGCCTATCATTAGTATAACTTTAAGCATATATCAATATTTATAGCTTATATGCCATGTTTTATGTTGTCTGAGAATGTATAATCTTACATCTTAGAATTATCAATCAAATTATTTCTAATTTAATAAGACATAAAGATATTTCTGTAAACTTTTTGCATGAGCTATATAAAAGTGCCATTATATTTCATTTCTAAATTCTCACCTGATTTCAAATTTTATTATAAGTTTCTAGTAAACGTTTTCTTATGCAAAATTCTAAATTGCTTGCCTATGGTTATGGAAATTAAATATATAGCAGCCTAATTCGCTCGCTGCATGAATGGGATTATTACAATTCATATGATTAATTGAGGAGTTTTTTTTATACACAAATCGTTTTATTACAATAGAGAGGGAGAAAGAATCTTTATTTTATTTTATTATCATATATACAATTTTTCAACAAAAATCGTTTCTGTCTTTGATTCTATTTTTATTATTTTTATTTTATTTTTTATTTTATTCTTTATTATTTTTATTTATTTATTTGTTTATTTTCCTTTTTTAGTATTTTGTTTTATCATTATATCAAGCGCATAATAAATATTCAAACATTGGGCAACTGAAGAAAGCATTATGCGTAATAACTTAAGCATTAACAAATATAAGCTTAAGTTCTATTTCTTTTAAGTTGCATTGTCGACTTAAATATTTTCTACGCTCTTTTCCTCTGAAGGTTAAATGTATACTCATTTTGTGTTAAGTGCAAAAAATGCTAATTACAATGACCATTTCATTATCTTTAATGCAATTATAACAATGAACATTCAATGAACTTTTGATGCTTAATATATCAGAATTGATCATAAATGGAGTTTGGTGTAAAAATGATTGCGACGCACGTTTTAGTGATTCGGAATTTATTATCTAATAAACAAATATATATCTTTTAGTTATTTCTAGAAAACGAATGCATATTTTAGTGCAATAAGAAATATTGATTGCACAGAAAAAAATGGTAAAAATGTCACAAGTATGATAAAGTTTGTATTAATTAGTTGAAGTGTAACCATTTATTGATTCTTTATATTCACAAGCAACAATATATACAAATGAATATTTTATATATGTGTTAAATTAAGAAAAATTTTATTACTTAATCTTGACTTATAATTTAACTATAATAGTATTTTTATAAATATTATAATTTATAAAATTAATTTTTTCGCGAAAAATATTGAAGTATTAGAAATAAATTTTGAACATATATTTTTAAAAAATTTTAATTTTAATTTTTTATTTATTTTATTTAAGGTTTCAAAAAAGATTTTTATAGAATTGCATATAAAGAATACTATAACCTTTCAATAAAATTATTTGATTAAATGTTAATATCTATATTGTGTATGTACAATCATGCATACTTAATATACAATTTAACGTTCGTGTATTAAAAAATATAGAATATTTATATATTTTTTGTAAGGTCTAAATAAGTTACATATATTATATATGTTATATATATCATAAATGTATATAAGTTTGTATGTGAATATATGTGTATACATGCATTACACATTTTTAAAAATTTTATTTTATTATTTTTTGTACATATATTCTTTGATAAAAATTTTTTTATATTGAAAAGTTTAATTTTTATTGTTTTATGTAGTTGGCTATTACAATTTGTACAAATAACACATATGATAGGAAAATTTATTATCGTTTTATAGATTAAATAATATCTGGAATTATTTCAAAATTTTCCATATTTATGAAATTGTAACAATTAAAAAATTTCTTAAATAAATGAGAGAATAGTTTTTCCTCAATATAATTTATATCATGAAATGAGATCGTTCACCCTTTAATAAACAAAATTCAAAAAGTAGATTTTCCAAAATCTTTGCTTTAATGCATCATATATGTTTTTCTGATTTTGTCTTAAGATTGTTTTTTATTTGTGTCGTCAAAAACGTAGTAAAATTTTTCATGTTTATATATATATATATATATATATATTTATTTATTTATTTATTTATTTATTTATTTATTTATTTATTGACAGATAAAGTTTTTTACCTATTTAAACGCGAATATTTAAGATATCAAGCTCTAAATTCTATTTCTCTAAAGATACATTTCTGATAATGTTAAATGACTCGACTGTAATAATGTTTGGATTAGAATCCATATTTACATGAATATTCATATTTACATGAGAATGTCTATTCCCTGAGAAAATAAATTTTAAAACGTTTATTGTTGCCTACAAAAATCAGAGAATTCTCATTGAATTTTATTGAGGAAAGCTATTTAATTCTTTTCGATATATTTTCAAATCTAACATTTCAAACTTCAGGGATTTTTTATTTATTTTTTTTATAAATTTTTTAATTTTTAATGAGTTTTGCTGTTTTAGAAAAAAATATATACCTATATATAACATATATATATAATAAAAAAGACTTATTTAAAAAATTGCATCTAAAAATATATGTTCTAATTTAACATATCTTTAAAATATGATATAATTTAAATCTAAATTTTAAACAAAATCAGGAAATTTTTTAAGACTTGTGTAGACCCGTTTAACGATCATTCGAAGACTCTCGAAAAATGGTAAAAAATTTTTGTAGGAGGTTCGGAATTATTCCCTCTTTACAAGGTTGAAACATTTAGGTCGTAACTTCTTTGATATTTATTTAACAACACGTCCATCACATTAATATGAGTTTCACATTTTGGAGAAACGCATACAATAAAACAAAAATTTTTAGAAAGTTGTAGCTAAAAATTCGAGTTTTATCTTCTAAGCTTCGTGCATAATGGCTTTTCACAGCGGGACATGTTTTTCCAAGGTTTGGGCCACTATTGTATGTGCCTGTTTCTAGAATTCCATAAAAAAAAACGGTAAAATCTAAAATTTATTCCGAACGTTGATTTCTTAAGACATCACCCCTCTCTCGAAGGGCTTCAGAAATTTTTAGGCTTAGGGTTTCGGGTAGTCGGAGCTTATGGTCAGTCACTAACTTGATGGACAAAGATGGTGACCATTTCGTTAGAAAACGTGCTAGATGTGCGTTCCTAGAGTAACATATATCTATTTATTGTATTTATACTTAATACGTTAAGTGAGTGTATATAGAACATTTTCGGAGGGAACAAAGAAAATTAATGAAAATGCTTCAACGGAGACCAAGAAAGTTAATCAAACTTCGATGAATTGTATCAGTTTCGGTATTTTTCGTTCGGACCACCACGTGTTGTGCACAAGATAATTTATTGTTAAGAAGAAAAATGCTACATGTAACGGTAAATAACAGTTTTTATTAATTAAAGAGAAAATTGTGTTAAATTTTTATTAATTAATTAAAAAAAAGGTAGTAATATATTTTTAAATTTTTTCGCGCATACGCATAACCACGTGGATGATGCATTTCACATTTTTGCAAAGAATTTTAGGAAATCAAATCGCTACTAAAGTTAATTTTAATACAAGAAAAAAGAGAAAAAGTTTAAAACAAAAGAATTTAAAAAATCCTTAATCTTTTTAATGAATAAAGAAATTATAAATGATTTTTAAGATTTTCTTTGTTCTCGAAAATTTGAAAGAATTTTCGAGAACAAAGCAATATGCACGTACAAATATATATATATATATATATATATATATATAGTTTCAACTATTTTTCTTTAAATATTGCAATTTGTAAAATAGATTGTGTAGAACTAATTTAACCTGTGTTTATAATTTTTTATATATTTATACATTTTTACATATATTATTTAACTATATTATACATATATTTATTTAACGTTTATTGTGTACATGAGATACGTAATCATTCTTGCATTTAATGAATGTGTTAAAAGTTAAAAAAAATTATGATATAAATGAAAAAATATATATTTTAAATTATTAACTTTTTTCATTACATATGCAAAATAATATGTAATATTGAAAAACTTAATATTATATAAACTTAATATTAAACTATTAATAATGGATTATTAATTATGTGTATTCATAATATAATTTAATATATTTTATATATTATTAAAATAATAAAACAAATATAGAAAAATAGTATGGAGATTAACACATGTTCTATATTGTATTAGTACACAAGTTTGTTAAGAGTGGCTACATAGTCTATCGGAAAACAATCTCTACTCTTTCCAATCTTTACTCTAAAATGCATGATACTAACACATATTAATTAGAGATATGATATCTAATAAAGCAGTACATTAAATAATTATGAATTTTGTAGTTTGCAAAAAATGTGATGTGCTTGATATACACACCTCAATCTTGATCTATCTATATACTATATAAATGTATTAGTATACAATTCAAAAGTACACGCTATTTCTTTCTTTATATGTACAATCAATGAAATAATAAATGAACAATACAGACGAGCACACCTGGTAAGGCTGCGGCGCCAGCGAGTCCTACGAAGGAACCGCCACCACGTGACGAACCACCTCTGGAACCGGTGAATGGCATAGTTCAACCGCCGGTTGTTCCACCACCGAATCGTCCAGGGCGCATCACGAATCAGTTATCATTTCTACAAAAAGGCGTCTTAAAACCAGTATGGAAGCATCAGTTTGCGTGGCCCTTCCAGCAACCCGTAGATGCAAAGAAACTCAATTTACCAGTACGTTACAATTCTATCACAGAACTTTTATAAATAGTGTTACGCAGCATATATATGTGTGGACAAAGAATGAAAAGCATGAAAGTGATCAAGTTTGTTTATTTATAATTAAAAGTATAAAATATATTTAACGAGGCAATTATATGTAAATTATTTTTGCTAAGAAATTTCTTTGATTTAAAAGGATTATCACAAAATCATCAAAAAACCAATGGATTTGGGCACAATCAAAAAGAGGTTGGAGAATTCATATTATTGGAGTGGGAGAGAATGTATTCAGGATTTCAATACTATGTTCACCAATTGCTATGTCTACAACAAGCCAGGAGAGGATGTTGTGGTCATGGCACAAGCTCTCGAAAAGCTGTTTCTTACGAAGGTATACTCTTTAATATATTTGTCAATCTTTCTACATCTATTTAATTTCTATTTCAGTGAAAAATTAACATTAATGAAAAAAAAAATTAAAATTAACAATGTTTAGGGATGAGGCTTACGAGCGAATGGTAGGATGATAGTTGCAAAAATCAGTCTTGATGCACAAGAAAACTAGTATATTTCAAATTTACAAACGTTTCAGTTCTCTAATTCTCTAAACATTGTTAATTTTAATTTTAATTTTAACGAGCATTGTTTAATTATGAAAAAAAATTAAAGATTACAGACAGAAGATTAAAGAATATATACAAGATTTTGTTGCGTATATGATCAAATAGTAGCATATATCGTGACAATTGTTTAGGTGGCACAAATGCCGAAAGAAGAAATGGAATTGGACCCACCAGTTCCAAAGGGACCCAAAGGCAAGAAAGCAGGAAGAGTCGGTGGACCAGGAGTAGGTGGACTAGCAGGAGGCACAGGAGCAGGTAGAGGCAGACCAGCTTCTGGTGCAGCCGCTGTTACTTCCAGTGTGCCGAATAATTTAACACCTTCTGCTACGTCGGCTGGGACAACCGGCGTTATACCTATGCCGCCCCTCGGTACTCAGGCACCGGCTTCAGTACCTGGAAGCACAAATACAACCACCATCGCCCCACCATCGAGTATGGGCGTCGCGCCGATAGCTACACACAATTCTCTGCCTCAGCAAGTTGTCCCTCCGACAACGGGTTATCACGCGCAGCCAGCGATGGATCCTCAAGCACCATCTGCTGTACCTCCACCTCCGCAAGTCCCTACAACGCCTACTGTAATGCCTCCGTCGCAACCTGCGAAGGTTAAAAAAGGAGTGAAAAGAAAAGCTGATACTACAACTCCCACCGCCAATGCTTATGATCCAATGTATGCACCTCTGGATTCTAAGAATGCTAAAATACCCACGAGAAGAGAATCTGGCCGACAAATTAAGAAGGTAATGTACATTCTTTATTGTATTGCTACATTTTATTCATTGTATTAATTGTTACATTTTATGTTTGAATCAAAAGTATTGAAAATTGTGTGTGATCTGTTTATATCTAAAAAATACATAATAGCGCGATAGCATCTACAATTTTAAAGTCGAATATCATTTATGGAATGATGAGTATCGCTTTTAAAAATTGATTTCTTTTAAATTTGTATGTAAATATAAAAATTTTCACACACACACACAGTTGCATGAAAAAAGATCATTGTATTATATAAATATATAAAGAATATGTAAATATTCAGATGAAATTTTTATATACAAATTTGTTATTTTTTTATTTTTAGATATAATTTATAAATTATCGTTTATATAATTATAACATTTGTACACAGTTGAAAAATTTCTGTTAAATTTAACAAACATCACATGTCCCAAACGGTCCACAGAAATTTTGTGTTAATTTAACATAATATGGATATGTTAAATGGAGGCACGAATACGAATATTAATATTTTAACACAAAATAAATGCAAATCTTAAAGTAATTTAAAATAAATTTTGTGTAAAATTAACATTTTTAATGTAAAAATGAGTTTTAATGTAAAAATTAATTTAAAATTTGTTAATTGTAGATTTTATCATACCTCCATTTATATTATAAAATAATATCAACATTTTTAAAAAATTTTAACAGATAAATTTGTCACCAATAAAACAGAACATATTTATTAAAATGTAAAATTAAAAATATTATATTTTAATAATTTAACATTTAAGTTTAATGAACATAACAGCAATATGTTAAATTAATACATAAATATGTTAAATATTTAACACAAAAATTTTAACGGGGACTGTTTTTAACAAGAAAATACAAATTTTCCTACTATGTAAACATCTTTGATCCTTGCATGTGTTGCCATATCATACTTTTTAAATGATATTAATCATTATGTATTAATCATAAAATGATATAATGATAATATAATTATATAATGATTAGTATCATTAAATGATGGATTAAACTCTTCATGACATGGCTGTTGGCTGTTTCAGCCAACGAGGCAAGCGGAAGACGGCTTAGTGCCATACCATCAGGCCAATATGCCTTTAATGGGGGCAATGGCCCAACAGGTACATTTATTACTATTCCTTCATTTATTCCTTCCTTTCATTTGTGTTGTCTTATCATCTATCAAATGAAAGTTATTAGAGAGATTTCTGTTTAAACGACAATTTTATAAATATATCTGTAGCATGTCTTGCACTGTAGCGCGTCTTGAGGGCCGGTTGTTCCAATCTGTTGGTAAATTTAACCTGATAGATAGCATATCTTTGTCTTTTTTTTAAATAAGTTTAAAAAAAAAGACGAACATATGCTATCTGTCGGGTAAAATTTATCAAGAAGTTAGAACAACCGGCCCTGAATCTCTTAACGTTTTGTAAGATAAAATTTATAGAATTGGATATATCTTTTTTTATAATACAAATATATATATATATATATATATATATATATATATATATATATTATACACTTTAAAAGAAAACTAAGACAGTTTTATAATTTTCTAATTTGTATAATTTTCTATTAATATTTTTATGAATAAATTCCTATTTAAAAAAATTATATACAGCTTTGATGTTACAAACATTTGTTTCTCACAATATCTTTGTAAATAACTTTTCAGCCTCCGCATACTGGTGTTAAGGGGAAAGAGAAATTGTCTGAAGCACTGAAGTCTTGCAATGACATTTTGAAGGAACTCTTTGCCAAAAAGCATTCGGTAATTGTTATACATATGTTGGTTCTTATCTACGTAGTACATCATTGTCTATGTAATACACCTAAGTATTACATCATTGTAAAACAATGAAGTATTGCGAAGATGGTTATAAAGGAGTATTTTGGATTGTAAAATTTGAATTTTTTCTTGACACAAAGCCGTATGCTTGGCCATTCTACAAACCTGTTGATGCAGAACTTCTAGGACTTCATGATTATCATGAAATTATCAAGAAACCTATGGATCTTGGTACTGTAAAGGTTTGTATTTTTAATTGATTTTAAATGAATGTAACATCACAGAGAGAAAGAGAAATACAGTGTGCTTATATAAAACATTTATTTACGCAATTTTTCTAAAAATGTAAAAATTTTAGATTAACATATTATTTTTGCATTATGTTTTTCTTCTGCAATGATGATACAAAACTTTCATATAAAATATAATGTTATTCTTTTCTTTTCTTTTTTTTACAGACTAAAATGGATAATCGTCAATATAAAACAGCACACGAATTTGCGAGTGATGTACGACTTATATTTACTAATTGTTATAAATATAATCCTCCCGATCATGACGTTGTTTCAATGGCACGAAAACTGCAAGATATATTTGAAATGAGGTTAGTGGTTATTAAATTTTTGCAAAAATATCAAACCTAAATGCACGACACCAGTTATAATTGTGTAATTAAACATGATTAGATACGCGAAAGTTCCGGATGAGCCGATGGGCAGTAGTATAGTGGCTATAAAAGGAAGTAGCAGTGGCAGTGCTACTAGTTCCGGAGGAGAGAGTTCTTCTGAAAGCGACGATTCGGTCGAGGAACGCACTCAGAAATTACTCGCTTTGCAGCAAGAGGTATGACTTTTTTTTTTTTAATTAAGGCTTCTGGCTCTTCACCGACCATGTTGGAATTGTGACGCCAGAAACGAGAAAATGCACACTAAAAATTCTGAAATACCATGGCCGCGGCGAGAATCCAGGAGCCTTAAGTAAAATTTATTTATGTGCGAGTTTAACACGGGGAAATTGATCTTTTATTCTATTCATAGCTAAAAGCTATGCAAGAGCAAATGCGAAAATTAGTGGAAGAGAGCGGCAAGAAGAAAAATAAGAAGAAGAAACCGGAAAAGCCAAAATCAAAGCCCATGAGCAATAAGAACAGTAGCCTTGTTGCCAGTCATACCGGTGCCATGAAGGAACTAATGAAACCTAGTGGTATTCCTAGCGTGTCTGACAGTGTTGGTGCTAGTATAGCCAGTGTTGCGATGGGCGCAGGCGATTTGAAGATGCCTGGTGGTATGGGCAGTGATCTCCATCATCAAGCTACAGCAGTAGGACCTAATAAGGCTCATGCTGCGGGTAGTTTAGGACATCATTTGCCCACAGCAGCTAACGCTAAACCGAAAGGGAAAGGTCGCGGACCTGGAAAAGCTGCCACCACCGCGAATACCGCAACCAAAAGGCCGAAAGCTAACAGCAGATCGGCTGGAAATAAGAAAAAGAATACTGGCAGCCAACCACCTCCAATAACGTTCGATTCAGAGGATGAAGACAACGCTAAACCCATGTCCTATGATGAAAAGAGACAACTCAGCTTGGACATTAATAAACTACCGGGTAAGTATAATTAAACTCCTTATTAGTATAGTTAAATTAAACTCCTTATTCTATATTATAATGAAAAATTGAATTAAAAAAGCTGTAATAAGATCCTAATATTAAATTATATATAAAAAAATCTCACTTCAAGGTAGAAATCATCTATTTTACATATATCAACTAATTAAATATTTATACAATAATTATTTTGGAAGGTTTTTTTTTGCAGAGAAAAGTTATTGCATTTCCGTTTGTTTTGAATTTGATTTCAAATTTTTTTGCATATATTCTTTCTAATTTAAAATTGTTTTATTTAGAATTAATAAAAATGAAAATCAAAAGTATAAAATATATATCTACTAATTATTTTATTAATCTTTTTATTTCTTCTCTTAGGTGATAAATTAGGCCGTGTTGTACACATAATACAATCTCGAGAGCCTTCACTGAGGGATTCCAATCCAGATGAAATCGAAATCGATTTCGAGACTTTGAAGCCATCTACTCTCAGAGAACTAGAGAGCTATGTTGCATCATGTCTTAGAAAGAAACCACGTAAGCTTTACTTTCATCTTTAAGTTGAGCTTATAAAATATCTCTTTTGTGGCAGCTAAATAATTGTATACATAAATATACAATATTTCACAATTTTTTTGAAACAAATTATAAATGTTGAGATATACATAATATATATGCGCACATATATCAAGGATGTTACATACGATACATATTTTAGATATATTAGGAAACCTAGTTATGATTGTTCAATATTATCGGAATAGACTTTTATAACAGATTGTTTAAATGTTATATCATGTGTGTCTACAGATAAAAAAGTCAGTGGTAAATCTAAAGACGAACAGATGGCTGAAAAGAAGCAAGAACTGGAGAAGAGGTTGCAGGATGTGACAGGGCAATTGGGCAATGTCAAAAAGGCTACGAAGAAAGGTATGCATAATTTTCTATAAGTAGGAGAGTGTACTCCCGTGAAAAAAATTGAAAATCTGGTATTCTCAAGGAAATTTTATTCAACCTTGAAAAATCAGAGAATTATGAAATTGATTGAGATTCAGGGAATTTTTTAAAAAATTATTATTTTGTTAATTTTATTCTCATTTAGCACTTAAAAAACGTCCTAACATATTTTGGCAATATGTAAGTTTTTATTACAATTCGTTTTTGATTGACAATCTATTCTTGGGGTCAAAATTTTATATGAATTATAAACTTCATAAAAAAATTGTTCAATTTTTCAAATGGATAATATTGAGATAAATTAATATTTCTTGAAACATAATAAATTATTTCTTTATTTTATATTTTTCTTTTTATCTAGGAATTCTCGGAATTTTTTCACAAAATTCGAGTAAAAATACTGTATAAAATAACTTTTATACTTTTTATAAAACTTTATCATGAAAAAAAAAATATTTGAAATGGCGAAACTTGACATAGAGGGGGATGTAATAATGAAATTGTTTTCATTTACTCTTTTTCACAGAGGACAGTAGTAAGTCTGTTGACGTAGTCGGAACTGGTGGTGCCAGTGGACCTTCGCGATTATCGGCGTCGAGCAGTAGTAGCAGTGATAGCGATTCCAGCAGCAGTTCACTCTCTACGAGCTCGAGTGATTCAAGCGACAGTGAAGCAGGTTAGATATAATTGTATCAGTTGCTATTATATTAGACCCTTACGTGGGAACAAGAAAGGACTACTTGAAACCAAGTAGTTAATACAAACTTATACAAAACCTATATAATTTTTTCGGTGAGATTTGAAATTACGGAGTTATTTGCGCGTGCGCGAGACACTATGTTGTATACATCTTTTTTTTTTGGTGGAGATATCATATATTCGTCATATACTTGTCAAGTTCTTTGCAGGAATTTGTTACTTCCTAGCGATTCCTCTAAAGCACAGATTTCCATACTCACGTTTACGCTCGAAAGTTTTAAAAGACAATACATTTATACAAGCATACCGAATGTGAATGTTGATTTAGTAGACTGTTATAACGCGCTCTTTCTCTCATTAACATCACAAAATATGACAGGGTTGCTGTGAGCCTGAGTAATTTCTACATTTCTAAAAAAAGCTCTACTTTCTATACGTGTTTTTCCTTCTTTTTTTCTTTGCGTGTTGTGTAATACTATAAATGACATTATCAATTTAGAATGATAAGAAATTCACTGATACCGAAGAAAAATAGTAGACGGAGTCGTAGACGTGAAGTTCAAGCTGTTTAAAAATGACTCACCATTTCATGTGGCATACGCATACATACATTATATGCACATGCTCGCATACACACACACACACGCACACACACACACACACATACACATTATTTATATTAAATTTTGTATAAATAGCCGACTAAAAAAGTGGAGAAATTATTTTTATCTCGATAATGTAACTTATTAACTAGAACTAGAGTATATTATAATCATAACATTTCAGTACAGTCCAGAAAATTACAACTTTAAAAATGTCTCTTATATATGAACAATTCAAAGTATTTTTCTTTATGTCAATAAGGTTGAGAAAAATTAATTAATTTATGTAATTATTATTTAAAATTATATAAGCTGCTGATTATATCACATTGTTTTAATTTATATAAGCTGCATTTTTCACATGACACATAATTACAACAAATTGGAACAATGATCGATAAATCTGTTCAGCATATTTCATTCCTATTATTACTTTAACTTGGATACTCTATTGAAAAAGAATAATGCCTCATGACTTGGTGATAGATTTAAGAACTTCAAAAAAAAATTCATGAACTCTGTGCCTAACCAATTTTCTATTGGCAAGTAAAACAATCGAGAAATATGCATCATTAACAGTATGTAAACGTAAGAAGGAAGTTACAAAATAGATATAAACAATATTTTCAAGTGGGGGTTTGACGTGTATCGCAAATATCTTCTTAAGCTGCTGAATCTTGCTTATTAATTACTGTATTTATTAGGACGGCGTTATTTACACACATTCACACACACACAAACACACATATACATGTAGTTTAAGTGCTGCGTTATATTAATGCAAGTACAAAAGTGAGTGTCAAGTTTCATCTTGAGTTGAATCTTGATGAAAGCAGTTGACTGCAGAATAAGATGATATATGTTGGTGTATTTGACACATTTTTAATATCCACCACCAGGTGATCAGGTACATGCGGTGGATGTCACATTAAGAATTTGAAACTTGACACACTCTGAAAGAATTTTTATTTAATTTACGAGACATATGCAATAGTAAGAACAAAGGTGAGCTAGTGGAGTGCAGACTGTGTTTAGAGGATACCATATGCCATGCCAGCTTGTTTCACGAATTATATTGATTATGAACAATATGATTATTTTCTCTTGCCCTATCGGTGTTGAACAATACATTCTGTTGCTCGAAAGTCAAGTATAGTTTTTGCTACTCAAGGTTACTGAATTTCTCACTGCAGTCCCGCCTTTGGGTTTTATTAAGAACGAATAATTACTTGAAGAGAGTCTAATGCCTTTGACAGACAGACTTTCAACTCACAAAGAGCGACATAGTTGGAAATTTGCCGTGTGTGACTGTAGTGTTAAATAATAGTACCTTGTATAAGTTATACAAACATACTTATCATAGCTTTTCCCCGATTAATTATATCGCCCACACATATATATACATATAAATATATATATATATTTATAACCCGAAAGATCATTCAATATATTAACTCTCTTGCGTTATTTATTTATATTAAAAAGAAAAACAAATAACTAGAACAGCAGTTACTTGTATCACTGTGTTTTCGTAAAAGAAAGAAAGAAAATCATTAAGTTTGATTTCTCACATTGATCCATTTCATGTCGTATCATTTCTCAGAATCTAGTACAGTGATTAACAGGCGACGCACTAAACCATAAGAAGTGGATATACAAAGTGGTTGACGTGTAAAACGTTTGCGTTTTATGCTCTCCCTCCGGTCATTTTCCACACATTTCAAACCTATGCGGACTTATAAGTAAAGAAAATATGATATCGGTTATCGTTGATACCGTAATAATTAGGCGGTGAAATCATAGCGATACACACGGGAATGCAGACAATGTGTATTGGTGGCTAGATTTGCAAATTAGTGCACTTTAAGGTTTAGCATATATAGTTCACAATGTTGTTATACGCGTTTTGTACTTTTTACCAGTGAGTTTTCACACCTCCCTTGTCTCCGCAAAAACAAAAAAGAAAGCAAAAAGAAAACAAGATTCTTCTCAACAATTGTCGGTCTCCACTGTTATTATCTTTCCACCTTGATCTTAGCTTATCATAGGTAAAGATGTGCTTCCTTTAACAAATCAATTATTTATTATTAAAGTGTTTCGTCTTGCAAGTCGAATCTACGTCACATATCGTGCGAGACGAGCGAAAAAAAAAAAGAAAATGAATACAAATTCTTCCTTCCTGACTCGCTCCGAGCATAATAGATGCATAGATTCGTATAAAGTAATTCTAAAAAAAAGAAAAGAAAAGAAAAAATCCGCAGAGGATAAATTAGTGCGGAGAAGTACACTTTATATATGAGTTCTAATTGACGGATCTCATTTGTTTTTTTTGTCAAATTAATTTGACTTTGAGCATGTACATATGTGTGCAAAGTTGAAGGAGTTAGAAGGTAAGATAGGAGAAACGACAGAAAGGGACTTGAATAAAAGAGGATTGAGAGAGAGAGAGATCACAGTGAAAGCAGGTAAAAAGGAGAGGAGGACTGAGAAGGGAAACAAGTTAAGAGGAAATGGTCTATAATATATACATATATATACAATATATATATATATATTTATATACATATATACACAAGGCGCCTAGCCTCCAAACACATTGTTTGCACTCCGCTAAGCTTTGCAAATCGTCGTTTTCATCTTATTTACCACTAGTTCCTCATCGGTTTAATCATTATTCTAATCTAATCAGTTCTCAATTTCGCTCAAATAATTAGAGGAGGAGAACAAAAATTGGGAAGAGTGTTTTCTTTCTGAAATCGAAATATCACTATATACCAATGATATAATTATGTGAATTATGAGAATTATGGTGTGGTTTTACATGCCTCAATATGTGAGAATAGTAGTTATTCCTGTGTCAAGCGTATCACACTTTCACATTTCATTGCAATAGTATATTTTAAAATGTGTATTGTAAATATCATTAATAATTTCCGAGTAACGAAACACATTATTACTGTCATAGCTTTCGAAGCATAATATTACTCTTTTTTTTCTCTTTTTTTTGTAACCCGTCCTATTAAAACATCTTTTTAGAAAAACTTTTTTTATGTGTTTAAACAAAATTAATTTTAATATTTTTTTGTTTATATATTTCTATGTGTAAATGTCTGCTCTATGATAATGTTTTTGTTGAAGATATCATGTAAATTTAGTTCTTTAGTTCGTGTAAATTTAGTTCTACATTATATAATATATATTATATTCATAAGAATTTATTGTGAACGTAACCGATAACGACGCTCTAAGCTGCTTCACCTCCAAAGTGAGCATCTTGTAATTAAACATAACGTGAGCATTAAGAGTAATCGAATTTGCACTCGAGTACAATTAAATAGTATCATGAATCATACACTCAGCAGCGTACTTACTGTTCCGACAGAAAAGAAAAAAAGAAAGCAAAAAGAGAGAGAGAGAGAGAAAAGATGATAAGAAGTAGGGCAATTAATTACTACGAGAATTACTCTATACAAACAAGCCACAATTGGTTCTGAAAAAAGTGTTCGTCGATTAAGAGAGTTATTGATTATTGGAATTATATAAGCATTTAAAGGTAGAAAATATGAGAAATGTCGGACAGATTAATATACATTATCGCCGTTTTATGTTTTCCCAAAATACTGAAAGTGACTAGAGAGAGAGAGAGAGAGAAAGAGAGAATGATAGAAAGAATGAGAGAGAATGAAAGACAGAGGGAGAGATTGTGAGAGAAAGAGAGAAATATCCGAATAATTAGCTAGACTATGGGAGAATAAATTTTTGGCAGCGTGTGCTGATGAATTAGATAGAGATCCTACGACGCATCTATTAAGATACAATCACCATTAGCTTGTAACACGAGGTATAGGGCATTTTATAAAATGAATATCCATATTGCCTTCCAAAATTTTTGTAGCATTTACTCTGTATGCAAGCACGCGTCTAAATTTTATATTTTTTTCTTCGCATCTTCTTTCATCCAGACTGGAATGTCATCCCTCTTCCTGCTAGTTATATAATAATAACAACGCGAAAGCAGAATTATTTAAGGAAAATATCTATCTAAAATATTTTGTTATAATTCAAAAAGTAGACACACATACATACATACATACATACATACTTACATATATACAGAGACATCTCTCTTTTATTTAAATGTCGCCGATTATTATATATTACCTTTCTATTTCGGATTTGTATGTATAAGCGTTTCCATCTGTTTTCTCTGCGTATCGCGAATTTAATAATAATAATAACGGTAAACACGAGCGTACGTGTTTTTTTTGTACATAGCAAAAACTAATATATCATAAAATATTATTAATAAATAGCTATAAGTTACACTTACGGAGAAGAAAAGTGACAAAAACACACGCATACATTCACATACATATATATATACATGTATGTGTGTGTGTGTATGTGTGTGTGTATATATATGAAACACGCGCGAGACTTTTTTTAAGTGCATACACATACGAAGTTTAAAACGAGTGAAGAAGTAGACGTTAATTCTCTCTTCAAGAGTCGCGGTTGGCTCATATAATAGGTGGTCCAGTTAACTATATTATATAAATTAAGATACGCTGGTACTCCTTCTCGTTGTTTTTTCCGGGTTTTTGGTTTTTTCGTTTAATCGTCGAACGGGGTTTTTTTTTATTAGAAGCAAGGTTTGTCCGTCACATTCCATCGTATGAAAATTTCTGTGATTGTCGCGATCACGAATGCAAATTTTTTTTGAGAGCACATACCTGACGAAATGAGAAAATGATGAAAAGACTTTTTCCATATAAATATATCACTGTCTCGCCGATGATTTTACATAGTAAACAGACTATGAACATCGAGCAGGAGTCTCTTGCCACCGATCTCAATGTTGCGCTAACTACGACTTTAACGATTAAAACAAGCTGTAAGAGTATGTCACTCTCTTGTATCCATTCATCTTTAAGTTGTATTCACAAACTTCGTCCCGAAAGAGGACAAGAAATGAAGAGGAAGAGTTTGAACCCGTATCGTACCATTTATTTACACATTATCATATATTATATTAATTATATTATACTATATGGAAATATAATGCAAAGAAGGACGGCAATTTGATGATGATGATGATGATTTCTGTAGTCAGTGTTTAATCGTCACTTCCGCCATTGTCACATTATTATTATTATTATATTGTTATTACAATAAAAATTGTGGTTTATTATATCGCTACACTTGAAACGAAGAGAGCTGGTGCTCTCACATACATATATGTGAAATATATATATATATATATATATATATATATATAAAAATATATATGAATGTGTGAGAACTCTTTTCGCGATATGTGTGCATATATATGTGGGCGTGCGTGCGATATGTATGTATGTATTTATATGCGATGTGTATATATACACATATACATATATATGCACACGCAAATCATAAATGAGGTGAAATACAACTAACTTTATGTAGAGAATGAGGAGGAAGAAGTCGTTCTGCGTATTAAAATTTTTTAATATAAAAAAAAAAGAAAATCACCAAGAGAGATGAAAGTGGGAAAAAATGGAACATACAATATTGAGATATTTAAATTAACATTGTTGTACACAGTGATACAATTATAATATAAGCATATGAATAAAATCTATTAGAAAATATATGCCCGGAGTTGTTTGATTTTGTTCGTCGTTTTCTAAGATTTTCTATTACTTCGCAACAACGATTTTACTATTTACTATTTTTTTTTTTTACAACGTTTTACAACGTTTTCGACTGGCTGGTATCCTCTGTGCACACTGCATTTCACAGCTCATCAGTTTCTTATCTCTCTCGATATGACAAAGAGAGAGATAACGATAAATCGATTGCACATTACTCACCTGTTAGATGCACGTTGAATTTCAGGCAATTCGTCGAATCGTCCACATAAAAAGAAAGCGAAGAAAAATCCACCAGGACCTTCGACGACAAGCTCCACCGTAGCAACGGTAAGATAATATAAGAATGATTATGTAAGAAGAAGAGTTCCACCAACCAGAGTTGAACATGTTTTTTTTTAACCAAAAAATTCACCATAAGTTTAATGAATAATTATTTTCTAAATAATGCATTATTAATTCCTCTTTAACACATGTAATATTTTTTCGTCAATCGTTAGCTCTTGAGATAAAAAATAATGTACTCTTTAGGCGACTACATTAAATCATAGTGGGGCTCTTTTAATTAACAACCAGCCCTCGGTTACCTCAGCGGGACCAATAAAGCCACCTGCAACCCAATCAAGCAATATTCCCTCAGAGCAAGGTATGTGGATAAATAAATTACGAGATTATTAAAATAGTACAGTAATAATATGATTGGAGATCTTAAAGAGTAGAGTTATATTTGTTGGAAAAATTCACAACTCTTATATACTCATTTGTATATTTTTTCCCAATAGATTCAACAATGTCTAATTTTCTGTAATTATAATTTTTTTAATTTTGCAAGTTTTATTACGTATAAATATTTTATTACAGAGCTTTTACAACGTATACATTACGAGGACATGTCATGTTATAAAAAACAAGATAATTTAACACGTATGATTAAGGTTTCTGGCCGACTATGTTGGAATTGTGACGTCAGAGGCGAGCAAACACGCTAACAATTCTTAGATGCTATTTCGAAATAAGAAGATATTTCGATGAAACAGCCTTCGGTTCAGATAGCTTTAGCACTCTCGAAAACTATCCTTTTCTTTTTATAATCAATAACTAAAATGACTGTGATATGAGGCAGAGTTCGTCTAGTCTTTGCGCATGCATGCATGCACAGTCATTCCACATGACAGTTTGATATCACGATCATTTTACGGTTGTTAATTGAACTGTCAGGAGAAAAGATAGTAAGTGTATGTCATTTTGACGTCAGTTTTCTACTTGGATAGTTTTTGAGATATTTTAAAAGTGTGTTAAAGTCATTTGAAATATTTTATTGAAATATCTTTTTACATTTAGAAATGACATCTAAGAATTTTCAGCGTATACTTTCTTACCTCTGACGTCACAATCTAACATAACTATGACGAGTTAAATATCTTAAATATGCGAAATACGAATTGTTAAATACAATTCTTTTAGGCGGCAATAATCAGCCGATCGCAGTGGCAGCTGTTACAGCTGGGCAAGGCATTCCTGTTGCAAGTCATCCATCTATGCCGGCTCAACCATCGCGACCTACAGCTATGGCTCAAGCTGCTCCCGTAAAGAAACCAACTCCGCCGCCACCGACATCTAATCCACCGACCCCGTCAGTTTCTGTGCCGACTCCACCGCCTAGCGTAACACCTACAAATGCGAACTCTATGACAGCCTCGCCAGTCGTATCTCAACCTCAGCAACCACCGACGTCCATCAGTTCCTTTCCAAATGCAAATACACCGGTGTCCACAGATGGGACAAATTTAAATCAACAGTCTGATCTTTTACAGCCGTACAATACTCTTTCAGGTATTTATAACAAATAATTTGATCTTTATAGGCAAATACAATGCTCTACCGAAGTTTCTTGTGAAAAGAAGATTCACACAATTAGAATTAGAACTGTAAATATGTATAATATAAATGTATATCATATATCGAATAGGTGTGCATGAAAAGAAAACATATATTAAGTAATTTTGTGTATTTTATATAGCTTCAGTACCCACCACACAATCCTCTCTGGAGCAGACGCTCGCGATCAAGAAGGATCCTCCATTTATACAAACACAGCAGCCTTCTTTGGATCAAACACTTGCGATCAAGAAGGATCCTTCGTTCATCCAGACATCTCACTCGACCAATAATACCAATACGAATACGAATTTAAATTTAATACCGGATGTAAAACCAGTGAATATGATGCCGACGAGTATGGCTTCTAATTTGAACTTGGGCAATATCAATATGGCGAGTTTGAATATGAATCTGTCCCAAGGACTGGCAGCGCACATGAGCATTGGACATCAATTGGAGAATATGATTAACACCGCCGCGCCATTGTCAAATATTCAGAACTCCCATAACATTACGATGTCGCAACAACACGCCAATGGTTTTCCAAATACAAAGCGTGGAAATTCGCCGCCCAATATGCTGAATAACAACGGTATTCCGGGATTGAACATAGGAATGAATATGGGAGGCATAAGTTCGATATTCGATCCTGTTCCTATAGTATCTATGCCAATGCAGATTTCCCAGATTTCTATAAAGAAGGACGAGAAACCTTTGCCAATCTCTCAACCTCAACTGACGCAAAAACCTTTGGATGGTGTGTGCAATATTTTTACGCATTTTTTTTTTTTTAAGCATTTCTCTGTCTAAATTTGCATTTAGGCTGCACCAGTATCTGTGTTTATTCGGCTTATCTTCCTCTTACATCTAATATATCTTCCCTTTTCCTTATACAATAAGTTCATGTTTATTATATCACTTAAATCCAGAAATAATTTAAATATTGATGCAGCTATTAACATCATAGTACAAATATGTTGGATAGAAAAGACACACAATGCAATACTTGCATATTCATTAATTTAATTTTAACCATTTAATAATTTTTATTTATTTTTTAAGGCTTATTTGCTATCTAGTCTTTTCTTGCACTCAAGCGTGCTTATTTATTGTATTTTTCAAGCATAATCTCAATTGTTGAGTATTATATTGATTTCTTGAATTTTTTATAGGTGGAAATAATCCTTTACCTTTACTAATGCTTTACATAATATTGCTTTATATGTGTTTTAATCGCTATATATTAATTGCTTATTAAGCAGACACGTAATACTATTGTTCTAACGGGAATTTTTTTTGACAGAAATGACTCTAACAATGCCACCAATGGGCAATCACGCTAGTTCCCAGATGATGCCCGAAAAGAAAATGACTCCACCCGATTCAAAGAATCCGGCTGCAAATTTTGCTTCAGCCTTCAAAAATAAGGTACAAAAAATCTATTCTAAATACGTATTTAAATAAAATCGTACATGTAAAGATTATAGAAATAATATAAGTAATATGTACGTGTATAGTTTTCTCTTATAATGTATTATCTTTTTGTTGTATTATATATATTTAATTTATTGTCACACATACACACATATACAGGGTGTCCTGGCGGAAAAGTTTAATAGCAGATTTCTGGTATCGTTCGAAGACGATTTGTTCTCAGCGAAAATGTCGACACACCAATAATTTTCGAATTATAAACAGTTTAAAATAAAGGCTTTTTTGGATACTAAGCCTTATGAAAATAAAATATTAACAGAACTACATTGTTTAGTTAATTTTAGATAGTTTGCTTTAATAGAATTTTATTAATATAAGACTTAGTTATATAAAGACATATAATAACAAAAATTAGGAACACGCTAAAAATGATGGCTTCCCTCAACATTTTTACTAAGGAAAAATTGTCTTCTAAATAATACCAGGAATCTACCATTAAAAACTTTCCGCCAGTTCTGGGACACCCTGTATATGTATATATCTCGATGTTTTTCTGCGATAGATAAAGAATCTTTAAGATTTTAAGGACATCTTTATTTGTTAATTTTTTTTGTTTTTAAATAGAACCACCATAATATTTTCATATAAAGCGATTCTTCGCAGTATTCGGCATAAGTTAAAAGAAGCTAAAATATAAATAATTTACGAGACATTATATTTTAACAGGATGTATCAGGAATGTTTTAAAAAAATATTCTTTTCGTTAATTTTATTTTTATTTAACACTTAAGAAACGTATTTCTAACATATCTTGACATTTAAGTTATTTTGTTAAAATTTTATGATCTTTTTATTGATAATCTAATTTTAGTGTCAAGATCTTATATAAATTATAAATTTTTTTATAGAAAATTGTTCAAATTTTTAATAGATAATTAAATAAATTTTAATAAATTAAATAAATAATTAAATAAATTAGTATTTCCTGAGACGGGTATAATAAATTGTTTTTTGTTTTATATTTTGATCAGGAAATTCCTCAGGAATTTTTTTTCAAAATTTAAATAGACACGCTGTTTAATTTGGCATAATCTTACATAATATGTTAAATATCTCGTAAAAATATTCATTTTGCAATGATTTTACCTCAATACTTTTATATCCGCAAAATAATGAGAAAAATCAATTGAAGAAGACGCATAATTATTAATAAATATATATAAAAAGTAAAATACCTTTTGTACATGTGTTCGCTTTTTATTTATTAAATGGTGTTGATTTTGCAGACGGTGGAGCAGAATGTCAAGAATGCATCCTCGTGGTCTTCTCTGGCGCAGGCATCCAGTCCTCAATCTGCGGCAGGGAGCAGTATGAAGAGCACGACCCGAGATTCATTCCAGGCATTCAAAAATAAGGCTAAGGAAAAAAACGAAAGAGTAAGTAATACTATTATAACACTGCACTGCATTTTCCTTTAAAATCTTTAAATTAATTATATATTTTTTTCTACACAAAATATGTGTTCAAATAATATATTTGATAAATGTAATAAAGTATATTTAATGAAACGTTTATATACCTAAAGGCAAGACATAATGAAAAAAATATAAAGATCACAAGAACTATGCTTAAACAGAAATTAAACCAAATTTTGTCGAGTAACTTTCGAAGCTGAACTCGTGTTACGAAAAAGATATTTATAACGTTTAATTTTGACCTTCGGAAAGTGCGGGATAAAAGTTTGTTTAGTTTCTATTTAGCTAATTAAAGTCTTCTGTAACCTTCTTTATTTTCCATTAGGTTTGTGTATTTTAATCTAATTTAAAGTTTCGATAAGACTAGATAAACTTTGAAAATACCAGGAAGTTTAACAGAGAGAAACGTTCCATTAAATAAATTTTATATTATTAAACATCTATATTGTTCAAACATTTATTTAATTTTATTGAAATTATTTGACAAAACGTAAAAGTAAAATTTCTATTTCCATGTATAATATATTTACCTATTTAATATATTTTATATTAATTGTAAAACAGCAAAGGGCCCTTATGGAACAGCAAGAAATGCGTAGACAACAAAAGGAACAAGCGGAGCGAGAAAGAATGCTGCGGCAGGAAAACGAAAGAAGAAGGGAACGAGAGGAAGAAGATGCCCTGGACAAAGTTCGAAAAACTGTCGCAGATCAGCAAGGAAACGTTATGACTGCCACAACAAGAGCAGAAGAGGTGAAAGCCATTGCCGATACGGATAGTAGTAGTCCGAGTCATTCGTCCAGTCAGGATAAATCCGCTGCCGAAAGAGAACGTCAGAGGCTGCGGGAGCAAGAACGTCGACGACGAGAAGCGGTAAGTACTTGACATTTTTTCACGTCCACCAAATTTCTATTTAATATCTTAAAGAAGAAGGAAAAAGATAAAAGACAATTGTGCTCATTATGTAGAATAGTCTTATTATAATTAAAAAGGACACATTTTCTTTTGACCTAGAGTCATGATTTGCATGTTTAATTGTATGTAAAGGAATTTAAGATAACTTATATGATCGGATTGTAAAAAACGCAATAATTTAAGTATACTTCAATTATTATTAGGTAGCTTAATAATTGTTAGGTGGTTTAATAATATTCAATTTAACAATATACAATTTAATAATATTCAATTAATATATAGAAGTTTAATAATTTTATAGCATATATAAGAAGAGAGTTTAAGCTATATTATAAATATTATCCTAATTTATCAGAGTTATAGAATTGAGTATAATGTTAATTAAAATCTATTATTATAATAATTTGCAATCTGTGATGATTCGGAGGAAAGTTGATTATTCTACATAGTTATATCTAGATTATCTGCAATACCTAAAGCAAAGGCATTCGCGAAAAATGGTTATATTTATCTTTTCAGATGGCTGGCCAGATTGACATGAACATGCAAAGTGATTTGATGGCTGCGTTTGAGGAATCTTTATAATGTTACTATGCGATGTTTATGATAAACGCACTAAAACTTGAACAGAATATGGACATATACTATTTGACATTTTCTATAATTATAGGAAAATGTGACGTTAATTAAGAAGCATAGTAATGCTAATTATGAACTTAAATGAATGACGTTTGATGACAGACATTTTTGTGCTATTACCAGTGGTGGTGCAGTTGGGACATTCCAACAGAAAAAAAACCCCTCTTGATTGACCTCTTGATTGTCTGAAGACTCAAAGAATAGAATGAACAGTTTCATTAGGATAAACTATGACAAATTGTGTTTGTCATTAAATCGATGAACATACATACATACATTCACACATTGAAGCGTGTGACGATGTAATTAGATAAAATACTTATATAATACTTCGAAAATGCTACACTAGATATTGTGTTACATTTTTCCGGTTTTCATAAGTTTGTACTTTATGTAAATTTGAAAACAAAACAGGATATATATTATGTGAATAAGAGGTTTGCATGTGCATTGAATGTATGAAATTAGATTGAATGTCGACGCAGGACAAAGAGTTGTACATTTAGTTAAGTTTTATATTTTTCCACGTTGAGTCATTAATCGTTGGTAGGATTATTATAGTACAGCTTGTTGCCAATAAAATATGTATGCAATTGATTAATCAAAGTCAATGTATTATACGTTAATAAATGTATAATATCTTGATTGATTCAGAAGTCATAATATTGCGAATCAACTGGTCAAATTCAAAGCTACCCACCCATTAATTCATTTTAGAACAACATTGTCAATTATTACAAATAATAAGATAATTCTAGATTTGAAGTAATTTCGATCCTACCAACCAGTAAATCAGGTTTAAATATCTAATCTTTAATATATTTTAAGTAAAAATGATATCGCGATGTCGATATCAAATTGTGAATAATAAATTTTGTTAGAAAAGAAATGTATTTATTCGATCAATAGTATACAAATGTCTCAATTTAAAAATTTGTTAAATTGTAAATAAAAAATTGAAGAAGTATGTATGTGAATAATCTTAAAATATCATTTAAATTCAACGCATCAAGCAGAAGAAAGGTATAACTGAATTATCAGATTAATTAATAACTAAAAGTCGCCCGAACAAAATCCTGCGCGAATTGAGTGAATTTTTATTAAGAAAAAGATTTTTCCTATAAAAGCATAAGTATAGGAAAAACAATACTGATTAAATTAATTTTACAATTTTTTTCAATTTTTTATATTACTTAATCTTTAGATAGAGAACACGAGAAATTAACTTGTCTAAAAAAGTTTAATTTTGAGATTTTTTTTCTTATTATCTTATTCATTTTCCACCCTATAAATTAATAAATTATCACAATATTTTTTTTATTTTATTATGTAAATTATATTTTTATTTAAAATTTTCAATTTTCTCGGAACAGTGGTAATCATTTTAGATTACTTCAAACAAATTATACTGTGACATTTGCTCATTGCAGATCCCAATATTGTTATGTCATATATAATAGAAAGGTTTCTCTAGAAGCACAAAAACAATAAAATTTCATATAAACGAGTAATTTTTTAATTAACTTATTCTGCCTCCTGTGCCAGATACTACAATTTTTTTGAAATATTGAAATAAATTTAAATATTAAATTAAATATTTTTGAAAGATGAAATTTAATCAATATAAGATTTCTTTTCTTTATTTCTTATGCATTCATAGTGAAAATAGGATTGTAAAGGGCGAATATTGAATATTCGAAAGTGGTTGTCATTTATTATTTTTTTTTTATTTTATACATCAATATGGAATTTCAGTTTAACTAAAAATAATATAAATTTTTAGACAATTCTAGTGAAAATTAATTCTAATATTGCTAAAAGTAGTGTTGATAATTGAAGAGAGCAGAATTAATTATTACTAATATTGAAAACAATATTTTCTTATATCGAATAGTTAGAAGAAATTTGTTGCTTTGGGTTCTTTTACGAGTTTCTTTTGCTGTTGTATTAGTTTGCAATTTATAAACGTAATATTATCAATTTGTTTTTTTTTTTATTTGTTATTATCAATTAGTTTTTTTACGAGCTTCTAGACACCTTGGAAAATCTTAAATTCAGGCTCTTTTAAACAAGCTAATTCCTTATGTTCTCTATTGAAATATTAAATAATGTGACGAATTGAAAAGAAAAATTGTGGAATTATTTCAATTGCTTTTATAACTTTTTTGTTGATAAAATCTTTTTTTTTAAATCAATGTTCCGTGTTCGATTAATATTTTATTCTGATGGTTTCTATTATTCAGCTCATGTTTAATTATTCTGCGTATAACTTTTGACCATGATAGGTTAAATTTAAATGGTATTTTAAAGATTATTCACATGCATGTGTTCTCAATTTTTTATTTATATCTTAATGATTTTTCTATTTTATACTATATTATTGATCAAATAAATATATTTCTTTTCTAATAAAACTCGACATATTAAAACAAAAAAATCTATTTACACTTAGACAATCGAAGTTTTTGAAATGAAATAGCACATCATTACTTTGATTGTGCATTTTTCTTCTCTATAAATTGAATGTATATTTTAAAACGACATTTTGTGTTTGGAAAGCGTGTGGAAAGAAGAACACAATCGACACATCTGTCGATTTTTATATATAAATGTGCTCGTGATACTTTATAGGTGAGAATGTAATGAATAAGCAAACGAACAACCAATGTAAAACTTTTGTTGTTAAGATTTAAAAGGAGTGCACGTTATTCATAATACTTGTTAGCGTTTGATTCACAATAGATCCGATTTTCTCTTGTCGGATTGTGAAAAAAGAAAAATTTATAAAAAAAAATTTATATTAAATTTTGTTAGCTGTTTGTTTGCTCGATGTATATTAATTTTAATTATCTGTTTGTTTTTGTTTAAACAGTAGAGTTTTTCTAAACAATTAGTGCACATATATCATTTGTTTTTATAGGATATCGTAAACGAAGGCAATTTGCAGCAGAAGCATTTGACAATTTTTCTCAATTATATCGTGAAACTCATTATTTGATTGAATTCTGTCATTTGTAATTAAAATATAAACGATTTGAATAACTAAAATTAAAAAAAAAAAAGATTAATAGAGTCTTATTCTATTTGTTTGTATGGTGCAATAGCAATGTTTGCGCCGTTTATTAGTACAATGATTTAGTCATCGATATGTTATTGTTAATGTAAGCACTTAAATGTGGTAGGAGTTCCTTGGATTGTAGGATTAATCATTTAAGGAAATGTAAAAATTGTTGATAGGTATATTGAGTATGTTCTTCTTTCCACACGTTGTTCGTTTAAGACATTTAATTTATAAAAAAGAAAAATGCACAATTGAAAATGATGACGTGCTGTTTTGAATACTTGGATTGTTTAGATATAAAAGGATTCTTTAGTTTTAATGAAATTATCCATTTTGCTATTAGTGGATACTATGTCTCATAATAGTGTCCAACGTATCAGGAAGATTTGTCATCGACGGAAACAATTAGATGATACTAAAGCATTATTTATAATTATAAATTATAATAATTATATTATAAATCTCATCGAGAGTTTAATGAAATAATGAAAATTGAATTTTTCACGATACAGCTAAGAAAAATTGTCAAATATTTCTGCTGCAAATTGGCTTTCGTTCACGATCTTCTATGAAAGCGAATTATATATGTGCATTAGTTGTTTAGAAAAGAAGAGCTATTATATGTATGCATTTAGCAAACAGACAAGTGAAATAATTTGGAAAGTTTTTACCATTTAATAAGCGAATCGGACCGAACCTTAACAAGCATTATGAATCTTTTTTTGAATAATTGTGAATAGCAACTGCACATCTTTCAAATCTAGAAAGTTTTGCATTAGTCATTTATTTTGTTTAGTGTATGCTTGCCTTTAGAGTATCGTGAAACACTCAGAAAATGTAAATTGTAAGAAAGATAAAGTGATAAAATATATATGTATGTTTATCAATGATGGATATTTTTTTTTTTTTTTTTTTTTTTTAACTAAAACATTCTTTTCGTAAAATGTTTTTATATGTATATTGAAATTCAATATCATCGATAGAATCTGAAAAATATAAAATAACGAATTTCATATCCCTTTAAAGTGTTTCGATTTTATTTGGTTTATAGAATACATATTTATATTGTTCAATCATGTATCTTTAGACATGATGAAAGTTATCAGAAATCGTAGATGTGTTGTGTCACACGATAATATGCTCACACGTGTGGCCGAATATATGAATCCTAATTATGTAATAAAAAGGAAGAAGGAAGGAATGAATACATGATGGAAAGAAAGAGATGATTTGGAGAAAGAATGTGTAAGGGGAAAAAATAGGAATGCATGTAATAGGTATAAGATTGTATAATACGTGGTTTGTAAATGTATATACAAGGAGAAATCATCGATAATATGTTAAATACGAAAATCTAGAATATCTATGTATAAATATATATTAAGTATATCATTAAAAATAATATAATAATCTTTATATATGTGATAAGGTTTATAATCGTTAAAGAAGACGGATAGATAAATTATGTAACCCGCTAGATCTCAGCATAAGTTAGAATGTAACGACTATACATACATACATATTTCTCTAAGTAACACCAAAATCACTCAACTGTATCAAAAAGTAATTTTTTATATAAGTTCCCACGGGCGCACATCATCTCCAATGGCACATGAATTTTAGTAGAACTTACTACTACGATGACTAACAATAGTGAACATTTAAACTGGTTGTACATAAATAATTACGAGGTGAGAGAAAATAAATGGCTGAAATAAAGAGAAGCTTGATGTTGTTAAATAAGGGAAAGAGAGAAAAAGGAGCGATTGTTTATTACATTCATGTATCTCTGTTTTCTTTCGTTATACTAACGCGACGGCAGCTTCGTAAATTTATGCTCTTTCGTATATTTATGTTAAATATAATTTTTTATAAATAAAAATCGAATTAAAAAAATGATTCATAAAGCGTTGCATTGAGTTTTGATTTTTCCAATATATAATTTTATAATACAATTTGTTAACGAGATGTTATTAAAGAATTCTCGATATATGAAGACTAAATAATATTTCTTAAATAATGTTTTAGATATTTAATTAATGTTTTATATGAAAAAGACATCTTTTAATTCCATTTTTATTTATAACTAAGAATGCATGCGATATTATTTGTGATTATTTATATGTATGTATAAAGATTTCTTATTTAACAACATCAATCTATATATATATAAAATATATCGTGTAACACAAAATGTGAATTGTAAGAAACGAAAAGCGATAAAAGATGTATTCATCAAAGATGGATATATCTTTCTTTTTTTTTTTAAATAAAGTGTATTCTTCTTGCGTAAAATGTTTTATATGCATATTGAACTTCATTTGACAGAATCTGAATTATATGTGTGTATGTGTGTGTATTATATATATATATATATATATATATATATATATATATATATATATATATATACATACATATAATCTATATATTGTTATTAATTAGCAGAAATAAAAAACATGATTTATTACATGAACTAATATTAAATTGTGAATACAAGAGACAGACTACTCATTGTACATGCATAGAGAAAATTACCTTTCCTAGTTTGTAATATTTTGCATGTTATATAATATATTTACAAACACATCGGAGAATGTGAGAACATAACAGAATAACGCAAGTAAGAGATCTGTATAGAAAAATCGCGGCTAAAGAAGCAACTGTCGCGTGATTTCGTACATTTTGACAGTTTTTTCCTTAAGCTGCGAGAAGTCGAAGTAGAGTGCAAATACGAAAAAACAAAACCACTATATATGTATACTATTAATATATCCTCAAAAAGTATGTTATAAGCATATATATATATATATATATATATATATATATAGTCCCTCACAAGTATATGCTCTAACAATCTTAAGATTTAATTATTAATAACTAAAATATGAAAGCAAAAATATAGTGGTAGTATTTTATTGCGAAACCTCTCACCTTCCTCCCACAACCGCATGCGTATATATATATATATATATATAGATATCCGCAATCGATTTTCTTTCAAACTGAACTGTGTCTAGAGCTAGTTTGTCCATATTATACGTTTAGCTATATATATATATATATTAATTCTTTTCTGCGATACTAAGCAATGTTATATAGACACCTTTTAAGTCGTTTGAAGAGTTGTTGCAGAAAATGTCGAATTATGTTTCAAGAAAAACACACGCAGATGTTTATAAAGTAACTTAGTAGTTAGAGAGTGAGAGTTCAAAGTTACAATGCGCCTTTTATTGAAGAAACATAAAACTCGCAATAAAGTCTTGCTTCATGCTGTCAGACGTTGTGTTGTTTATTGAAACGATGAAACTCCCGCAGTCTTAAGGCCTGCATGCGAATAAATCCAGTAGCATCCGCGGGCTCGAAATCACCCTGCACGTCCATCGAAACCAGATTCTCGTTGTACAACGAGACTTTACTCGATCTACCGATCGCCATAACTGTAATAGGAAAAAGAATAATGTATAATTATTTTTTTTTCATATTGCAAACTTAAATCAATAGTTCTGTTTATATATATATATAAATATATATATATATATATATATATATATATATATATATATATATATATAGGCTGTTTGAAATTTCGTTTTTCTTTTTAAATTTAATTTTACGCAAATTATACCATATTATTATACCAACCATTTCCTTTGTACAGTTGCAGCTTTACTGTACCATTTACGTATTTTTGAGAATATTGGATGCTGTTTCGTACAAAATCGCATTCGGGTGAAAACCAGAAACCTGTATAAGACAAGCGCGTTTTTAATATATATAATTTAGCTCGATAAATATAAAATACATCTTTAGTTTTTTAAATATTAATTATACCATTATAAACGTAATTCGACATCTTATCCGTCAGATATGATTTGATCCTTAGAACTTCACGGTCCAAGATGAACACTTCCAAATCTTGATGAGCAGTGTGCAAGATTTTGGCGCCCGGTGACTCGTAAATTCCTCGTGACTAAAACATTTAGATTTTAGGTGAATGTATTCGGTTTTTTTTTGTATCAACAATTCATAGATTTATCATAAATGCGCACCTTCAATCCGATGAATCGATTTTCCACAATGTCTATCCTCCCGATTCCATGTGCACCTCCGATCTCGTTAAGATACTCTATTATCGTCAGAGGAGTATCAAATATTTTTCCATCTTTTAGACTTTTTACATTAATTGGGTAGCCTTCCGCAAAATTAATTTCAATCTCCTCAGCGTCTAAAGAAGAATTTATCGGATCAGCCGTCATTTTGTAAAGTCCTTTCGGTGCTGGAGTGGCAGGATTTTCCAATACTCCTGATTCGTAACTGTAAAATAAAAAGAAATATAAAATAAATGAAAAAGGTTCTGATACGAATGCAAATTAAGATATATGAAAAGGACTAGTATAAGAGTCAGGCACAGATATATTAAATGCAATAAAATTATTATTTTTAAATTCCTCATCTGCTATATTTAAAACAAGTAGAGAAAAATTTAAAAATAATTGTACTGCATTTAATAATTATATTTGATTCTTATTAGCTTTTTCATATCTGAATTTGTACCAATATAAAAGATAAAAGTAACGTTAATCTCCTATTCAATATTCCATTTGCGTGTGTTATACCTAACGTGTACGAGATTAGCATCAGTGCTCCATGGTTCTTTTGGTGTTGCCGAAATCGGTATTCCATTTTGTCGGGCATATTCCAATAAATCCGATCTTCCTTGAAATTTCGTGTAAAACTCGCGTTCCCTCCACGGAGCTAAAATCTGTACATTTATATTATATATTTTTGTCATATATAATTTTTTTATATTACTTTTTATCATACAATTAACTTAATTAATTAATTTATTAGATTTCTATATTCTAGAAATATACAGTCACATATAGAAGAATATATTTCCTACATTATAAAAAATATAAAATTAATCGATATCATACACTTCAAACTCACTTGTGTTGTTCATCAAGTAATTGTTGGCAAAATAATTATATTGTAAAAAGTACCGTGATATCAGGATAAAGACTGTAGCAGCTCAATTCGAAGCGAACTTGATCGTTTCCTTTTCCGGTTGCTCCATGTGCTATGATATTGGCGTCTTCGGCTCTTGCTAATTTGATCAAACCTTCGCTGATACAGGGTCGTGCTACGGAAGTGCCTAGGAGATATCTTCCCTCGTAGAGCAATCCACAAGCCACGGCAGGCCATACATAAGAAGTTACAAATACTTCTTTAAGATCATCTATCACAACCTTATGAACAAGTGAATTTGTCGTTATGCAGATTTTTCAAGTAAAAAATTAGATTATTTTGTCACAAATATATTGAACAAATATAATTATTTAACAATCTACTAATTTATACTACACAATTTTTAATATTTTATTTTGAACTTAATCAGCATATTATATGCTAAAAAATATATTTTACCTTAGTGGCACCAATTTTTAATGCCTTCTCTTTAACTGCATCAAAATCTTCATCTTGCCCAATATTCGCCTAAATATATATAATCAAGTGTTTGTATCTACTTATTTTAGAAATCATGTAATTACAAATAAAATTTTTACCACATAAGCGATAACTTGAAAGCCTTTCTCTTTCAACCAAAACAAGATGCAGGAGGTATCTAGACCACCGCTATACGCTAGAATCACTTTTTTCTTCAAATCTGCCATTTTTCACAGCTTCGTAAGCTGTAGATGAGTTTTAAGTAGAAATTAAAAAATAACACTAAAATTAAAACTAGAGTTAAGAGTAAAGAGAACAGCTGTTGAGACGATACAGACTTAACTGTGACAATACAGAAATAACTGTGTTAAAATCCGCTTCATTGCAACTTTATTAATCGACTTTGTTTCTTTGACCTCCGGATTACTGATAACCCTTTGGATAACTTTGAGATCATAAATCGGTGTCCTTAAAAATTATCGAAATAAGCTATTCTGTGTTCAGTGCATATAAATGTGGTAAAGTGATAATTAAAACGAGACAAATAGAGCGCATTGTAGGCCTTTATAAGCAGAACATTTTGTTCAAGCTATAATCTACATACACATACATATATATATATTTATATATGTATAACATAACAGGATATAGTTTATAAATATCGTTTAACTTTATAATAATCTCTTCGCTAATAGATCGTAACATTTATTGACATTACATTAACGATTATTACTGTTATTCATCGACAGGCGCAAGCTTCTCGTCGAAAGCGCTTCTTTACCACAATCGCGGAACGATTGGGGTTCGACATATTGCAATAAATCTTACGATGCATACGCATATATTAATACAATATTATAACTGCATCTGCGTTACGTTCAATAGAAGTGAATAGTCGGTTTTGTCAAAGAGAATGCTGAATACTCTATATATTGAAACTATTATATATTTATGAATTACATTGAATGTAGTAGTATCTGAACCAACAATTGGATAACTCGAAAATTAAAGTATTCCATAACATTATTAAAAAAAGAACTACAAATAAATAAGTTAACAAAAAGTGTTAAGTATTAGATTAGTATATCTAGAGATTTTATATTACATTCAGAGTACCACCGATTAAATTCGAGAAATAATGTCGGATGAATAATCTTATAATACTGGTACCAGAGTTGAAGAGAGTAAAGCGAATTGCAACGTGACATTTAGATTTGAAATGTGTCTATTATAATAAAATTATAATTTTTTTTCTCTAAAAGTATAGCAAAAGTATATATTAAACAAAGACTATCTTTAAATGTGTAGTGTCTCAACGAGAGAGTGAAAGTTAACAGAAAGTACTAATAGTAATGAGAAATGTACAGGAATATCACGGATCATCCTCTACGACACACATAGATCTCTACACAAATTCTCTTTCTTATTATACCGACAAAGAATGATATAATGCATATGAATATCTCTAGGGCTTTGCTAAAGGCTCGATTGCCCGAAATATTACCATTACACATCTTGCTACATCAGTATTGCCAACGTATTTCATACGATCTCTGATGATTATGTATTCGCGCAGGCACTTGATTCTAGATAACTTGTCTGATCGATCAAGATTCATCTTCGTGCTTGACTAATACACGAATACTTTCATATATATTCAACTGACAGCTATATTATAGAATACTTGCATACGCTCGATGTTTTCTGTTTCGGAATGAGTTTCGCTCTCTTTCCCTTAAAGAATTGACTCTCTGTTCGTTATTTAATTACATTTTCTAATTTCGATTACTTGAGAGATCATGGGCTTCATAGCTGGTATTACTGATGGAGTTGAAATTAAATGGCAGATCAGGAATGTGTGGTCATTTCTTCTTTTAGCTACGTGTATAATTTAGACGTGCACTTTACTCAGGTCATTCATGAACGACTTTGGTGTAATTATATGGGACGAGCCTACAATAATACATAAGTATTTTTTAACACTGAATAATAAAGTTTTGTAAACTTTTAAAAAATTGCATATTTCTTACCAATTATGACTTCCCAATTTTTCAATGCATTTGTGACTTCGTACGCACATCGTATTTCAGAGTAGCATACTCCACCAACTATGAAAACTATTAAACGAGGAACGTTTTTAATAGTCTGCTGACCTTTGTCTTTGTGCCAATGTCCATATCGCGCGCTGCACAATTTTACATTAATGTTTTTAGAAACAAATTAATATTTTTTATTAAGTTTAAGCCAAAAAAAAGCATGATTATAATCTACCTAGTTGGTGCATGATATCCTGAACTGGCTGCACGTCCGGCGAGAAACGGGAAATGTTTAGAGTCAAGTTTGTCTTCGATGGAATCCTCCATGACGTCCTTAATAATTGGAGTCCAACGGCTCATTTGGTACGTTTGTTCCGTGATTCTTTCTTTACGTGGTACCGTGTACAACTTTTTGCGATTACTCTGCAAATATAAAATAATGTTGTATTGTAGTGTTTATTGTGCGAGCAATATGAAAATGAATTAAAGATTTTTTGGTATATAAAGCTCAATCTCCGAATTTTTTTAGCTTACATCTACAACAACATTGATGCCAAGATTTGCCATATTCACGATAGTCTGTTTATCATCAACGGACACTTGGGCATGGTGGACTAAACGATTAAGATTCTCATCGGTGATGCCATTTTTGCTGATGACATATAAAGCTATGATGCGTAACTTGTCCAAATGATTCACAGTTTGATCCAGTAAAATTGGTGTGATATTCCGCATATGATCTTTGATCTTTTCACCCTCAGCATCGGTACCCATGGCTAAGTCCTAGATTGAAATATATATGTAATTAAAAGATCATCCAAGGTGTCTACTCAAATTTTGTAAAAAAATTCCCTGATCTTCAAAGTATTTTCGTTTAAAATTTTAGACAGAATATTTAAACCTTTTTAAAATAATTTTTTTATTGTATGTGCTTTCTAATGTTTTCTATACATACGACTGCAAAGTTATCAAAAGTATAACATTTAATATTCATTTAATTTCATTGTAAAATTAATTTAGACAATAACAAAGTGCAATATATCACTTATATTTAAACCTTAAAAATGCAAAAATATAAAATATAAAATAAAAAATAACTTATTAGAAACATTTTGAGCAATACTAATTTATTTAAATATTATTAAAAAGTGAACAACTTTCTGTTTCAAAAATTATTTAAAAAATTAGAAATTTACATAAAATCTTGATACTAAAACTAGATTGTATAAAAAAATCACATACAAATTTTAATAAAAACTAAAATATTGCACAAATATGTTAGATGTTTCTTAAGTACTAGATAAAAGTAAAATTATCAAAGGGATAATTAAAAAAATGTCCTAAATCCTATTCAGAATTCCATGAAAATTCTCTGATTTTTCAAGATAAAATAAATAAATTCCCTAAAAATACCAGGGTATATTTTTCTCGATAATATACATCCTATCACTATTAAATGAATTATAAAGTGGCAATTACATACTTGCTCCACTTTACAAAGCTTATCTACGTTTCCTTGATAACGCTTCATGCAGTCTTCAGCCAATTGCAAGTGCGTGGCATATTTACTCAGTTCTTTTTGATATTGCGGCATCTTTTTGATCATCTGCGACAGGTCACGCATACTCTGCTTATCACCCTGTGGCATTCTTTTTGATTCTGTAAACTTTTTCAAATTCTTAGTCACGTTCCTGGAAAACAAATTTTACTATTACAATGTTCTTCAGTTATTAAGTTTTCTAAAAATTTGACTTATATTTATATACGTACTGGGACACTACAGCAATATGTTGGTGCCTGAGTTCCACCCACAAATCGTCATTTTCATCCAACAATACTTCTTTTTCCTGACCTTGTGTTGCCTCGAATCTATAATATAGCATTGTATATAGATTTAGAGCGTTGCACTTTTTTTATAATAAATTTATAATAAAAATTGTGAGACTTTACTTGCCTGTAAACGTCATTGTCAATATCCAGCAAGTCATATGCCATGGCTTGCAGTGTAAGCTCATGTAAGAGCGGTGAGACGCAATCGAATCCTCTATCTAGGATCAACAGTTGAGAACGCGCCTTCTCAGGCCCTTCTCCCATTGTCGGTTCATCAGCCTTGTATGCGTCTAGCTTTTGCTGCACCAATTGAGCAAGTTCAACATTGCGATCGAAATCACTGCGCAGTATAGTTTATTCAATATTATTAAAGTGCTTATTAATTTTTATTATATATATAAAAATATACGTCTATTTAAATTATATATTTGACATAGTATTTCTATTTACAAATTATATTTGAAGATTGGAATTACCTGCGATATCTGACCGATGGATATTCCCCAAGAGTGGCGCAGAGTGTTGCGATTTGTTCGGCGATGCGTTCCATATTAGCCGGTCTTAGATTGAAGAAAGAAGGATTGTAAAAGCAAGCGAACGTTTCGCGTGAGTCCAACGAGAAGACCTAAATGACAGCAGATTTAGTATTTTGTGATATGCTCGTCACACATAATACAACGCACAACTATTTACAAAGTTTTATACTTCAAGCAAAATAAATAAGCAAGCCAATCAAAAAGTAAAAGTAACGAAACTGAGTTATATAGGACAGCAATCTGTGATTAGTAATCACGTTACAAGCATGTACGCAGAAATACATATTTCATAGAACAACTTTCGAGTCGAAAGAAAAGATGGTGAGAAGCTCTTTCTTCGACAGGAAGTCTGTCGCTTAAGTCCTTTGCAACCGAAAGATAAATCTCGACGAAAAGCAGAGAAATCTATAAATTCGTGAAGGCAAGACTTTCGCGCTCTAGAGCTCTACAACTAGCGTTCTACTATCTTCGTCTGCTTAATCGTCACCTGCGATTCGTACGGCAGGAATGCAATGTTGATCTCTTTGAGGGTTTTGACCTTTTTAGCGGCGAGAGACTTGCAGATTTCATTGAACAGCTCCTCCGGGCATACTGGCATCGAGTGCAAGCATGAATGCATTCTGATTATTAGTATGTGCTTGTTCGTGAATCACATGTGAAAGGCTCAGATTGGACTGGACAGGTTGGATGAGAGGATAACATTGTATTCATATCGTTTCATTTTATATCCGAGAGATCCGCGTGATTAAAGATCAGAAAAGTTACGTGATTAGAGATCAGAAAAGTGAACACAGGTCGTCGTGTAATAATGGTAAATAATTGTATTCTGTGTATGTATGTATATGTGTGTGTATGTATATGTATGTATAAATATACAATAGGCCCATCACCACGAAGGACGAAACGCTCAAACATTTTCCTTGTCATAGTTTTCATTGCTTTACCTGTTCTTCGTATGGTATAAAAGCGATGTTGATCTCTTTTAGTGTCTTTATGTGCTTAGCTACCAGCGAATGACACAATTCTTTGAACAACTCTTCAGGGCATGCTGCAAAGAAATATACTGAGTATGTCGAGTCACCCCACGGAAAAATTAATAAATCGGACCAATTCAATCTTGTACGATTATTCTTCTCGAATCGTTAGTCAATTTTTATTAATGTTGTATGGTCAACGAGCGAATCAATGAACCCGTATCGTTACGTTGAATTTGGACGTTCGATTACATTCGTATGGAGATTTGCTGTGAGAATCAGTAAGATATATATATTTTATTCGATGAATTTCAGATAATAATTTTCAACAAGAATTTAGATAGATGCTTAATTATATAGTTATATTTTAAATTTAATACCAAAAATAATTTGACAATATCTCAAGTAAAAAATCTTATATTCGAGCGAATATTGATCAAATTTATTATCTACTGTTTGATTTAAAATAATATTGATTTTGAAAATTAAGATAAAGAGATGTACTAAATTACACAGTTATATTTAAAACTAAAAATAATTTGGCAAATTAATATATTTTAAGTAACAAAAATCTTATGTTCGCAAATATTAATAGAAATTAAATTTCAGCCTTGATTGTCGAGATAATTAGCATGTTACAAATTTGTCTACTATTTTATATAATATTAATTTTAAAAACGACAAATAGCTGTACTAAAATCATCGAGAAAGCACCGTTTCTAAATAAATATATCTACATTTTTCTCAAGTCATTTTCGCATTTCCCACTTCGATAAACACTTGGAAATCGCGCAAAGTCTATCGAAGGAGCATTGGATCGTTCGGATTCGTCATTGGAGGATTGGGGTATCAGAGCAAGAGTGTAGGAATGGCAATTGCGATCTGATACCTTCCGTAAAATATACGTGGGCGGTCTTGTAAGTGGTTCTTGTCGGATTACTAAAGTCGTCGATCAACTTCTGCACCGACGAATTACAGGGCGTGATGAGGTAAATCGCCTCCATCGTCGGCAGGGGCTCGCGTTTCTTATTGATATCCTCCACCAGAGTGATACCCTGAGCGCTGATATCATGCATCTTGCAGCACGCGGACACCATCCTCATGGCAAGCTGATCCACCACCAAGATCCGCCATTCTACCCCACCTGTTGTCTTCTTCTTCTGCTTGATCACCTCATTCATAATCTCTGCAAAGAGAGAGAATTTATTGTAATCATTCATACTAATTAATTAATCATTTATTATATTTATTTATTGCAAACTCTCTTCGAGAATAAGCAAGTTTTCCAAATATTCATACTTGAGAGTAGAAAAATTATATTTTGAATAGTAAAAATTTTTAGAACAGGAGAAAATTTCAAAAAATTGCACAATATATTTTTAATAGAAAACAAAGAATATAACAGAGTAATATTTATATCTTACTGTGAGAAAGAAATCAATACTGTAGTAATTGCTCGAATATTGCGTGTTTCTTTGTCGAAATCAATATATATATATATATATATTTAAAATATATATTTAAAAGAAAAAATCGTGAGAAAAAATGCAACCTTTTTTCTCTATTAACTCACTACTTGGGTAAAATTTTTTTAAATTTAAGTAATTATAGATTATGTATTTAAAAATAAAAATAAACTTGTAATAACTGTTTCTCCAATATTATATATTTTATACGAGAAATCGAGAATAGAGTGAATTTGCCTCGATCAAACGAAATGAGGGAAGATTAATGCGAACGATGATGAAGGGGCATAATTAATTTCGTGTGAGTTATTGACAGTGCGATCGTTGATAATTAACGATGTTGACACGCAGATTGAGTTGTCAAGAAATCTTTTGACGTTCTATATGTACATATATTGATCGTCTCTACAGAAAGATGACGTCACACTGTGTTCAGGCATGTATCAAGGAAATTACAGACCCCATTTTCCAATGTCCCCTTCGATGTATATTTATAGATATCTAGAGATTAAAAATCTTTAGTTCTTTATACGAAAAAAAATAAATAAAATTTACGATTCTGTTTAATAAAATATAGATGCATTACTTTCTCAGATTATTATTTTATTTAGAGAGTTGAAATAATAAATGCATACAAAATTTAAATAATAATTAATTAGTTTCTGAAATCATCAATAAATTAGATAGCTGGAAACATTAAATCAGAAAATATTTTCCTCGATGCATCTGATGTATTCAGTCATTTTTTCTCATACAAGTTTGCAAAAATATTTATCCTAATTTGATTGAATAAATAAATAAATATATATACGTACACATAATATTAAATAAAAAATAAATATTTTATTATTATTAATATATCATTCTATATGAATTTAAAAATGTAGTATATGAAAATGACCTAATAATTATATGTATGCAAAAGATCTTGCTAAATAAAAGATGCATTATAGCAATTTTTTCAAACAAGAGAATGTCTAATTAAATTGATAAATTCTTGATAAATTAATACACAATAATAAAAAATATTTTAAAGTAATAGCGATTTGACATCGTGTTGAATTTACTCCGAGAAGCAACAGTTATTTGCGCGAGAAAAGTGCGCCTGAACTACAGAACACGCAGCTCATTGTTCAATACGTCATTCGCGTTAAATAAAAAAAAAGAAAAAAATTAGCACATTGTCTTTTTTTTCTTTTCCTCGATGAGATTGAGGTCTAAGCGTCCTTGTTGCAGACAACCGGTAGATGCGAAAATATCATGTTTTCCACGTCGAAGTGATCTTTTACTTCTCCCTTTGACATTCTCGCGATATTCTTCGATCATCCTCAAACTGTCACCTGACCTGTCAGAATGCAAAACGCAGGGAAATAATGAAAACCGGTGGCTGCGCGAAGGAAAAGCGACGCACGGATGCAGGAATAATTTCTGTATGTGACACTTGATAATTTGACAGGTGAGAAAAAATCTACTTTCCCGTAAATTCGCAGCGTCGAGAATGGAACATCGCAGCCAAGAGATTCTCGTAGGAACGCGACGAGGAGATCGAACGAGTGTCTCTCTCGAGCGTTTGACGTTTCGTCGTCCGATGAAATCATCACACACGAGGGGCAGGCGAAGGGGAACGGGGGAAGCGCGAACGCCTATTCTCCCGGGACTTTGACGTGACGGCGATTTGACAGGTGCGAGATCGGGACGATCGCGAGGCCGCGCGAGCCGGTCGACGGTTACAAGTAGGTCCTAATCTCGTGCGAAATTGCTGCTTTTTTCACGCTACTCACTCTGCCCGACTTGTGCCTTGAGCGCCATGTTTGCTGGGACTGAGTGACAGCTCGCTCGCCAGGCGGCGCTCTCGGCGCTGAAAAAGCGGCGAACTTCACTGTTTCGATCGGCACCTGCGCATCGGCGGCGTCCCTTCGCTTCGTAATTAATATCATTACAGCGGTACGCTCTTAATTAGGTAATTAAATGATTACTTTTTTTCGACGCGTTTTACAGCGCTCTCGCACGCGCGCGAGTTCTTTTTTCAATTGCGTTTCTACAATTCTGTGAAATTATGTATGCACATGTGTGTGCCGACTCGCAACTTGACCTTGACGCGGCCAAAAATATTCGCTAATTAGTAAATGATTAAGAAAATAATTATATAGTTGTGGAGAAATGATAAAGTGCGGGTCAGATTCAAAGTTGGATTATTATATGCAATAGTTTCTCTTTCATGTCACAATAAATCTGTTCTGAATCTAAATATTAATGTTAATTATATAGTTAATTAATTAGAAACGTAACCAAACATTCAGTGATATTTGTCTAAACATCTCTGTTTAATAGTATATGTCAGATATATGTTGAATATAAATTGTAGTTTCTTCAAAATTGAAGCATGAAAGAATATTGAATTGCCTAAAATTTTAGTTGTCGTTAAAATATTTTTAATTATATTTGATCAACCAATCAGAACGAAAGATTTTTCATCCCGATAATCTAGTCTAGTCTAGTATCAAGTGAAATATATAATCCATGGCGCATAGATCAGCGCGCGCGCGCGCGAAAATTGCTCGATTCAAATGACATTTTCACTAAAAAATTATTGCGATTTCAAAATATTCGGATTCGAAGCGTATATTTAGAACCACATAAAAAATCACGTGAAAAAATCATAAAATACCTATATATATTATTACTGAGCCCTTCATTAATCGAATTAGTAATGAATTACATTATTATATATATAATTTATTTATATAAATAGTTTCTAGAATTATTTATTATTTTTAGTAACAAATGTGGACTCGAGATGGCGTGTGCCTAAAAAATCTCGCAGCAAAACTATCTACATCTCACTATAGTTTCGCGGCTCTAAATAACAAACCGGCACGCTGTTGCACATATAATTACCGCGAATATTGCATTCTCGCAACGAGACGGATATCGGACACAAAGTGCGGGTCATTCGAGCGATTAAGCGCGCGTGAAAGAGAGACGGCGGGTCGGCCACCTGACAACGAGAGCGAAAGGAGCCGAGAGCGAGAGCGGCTGCGCGTGGATGGGGGAGCGAGAGAGACGGCGCGTCGCGCCGCGAGGAGCCGGTGCCTCTCGGCCGCTCGCGCCTCAGTTCAGATCTGTCCGCCGCCGCGTGCGTCTCGCGTGTCCGCGCGCGAGTAGTGAGCGTGTGTCGAGTATCTTCGTCGCGCGTTTTCGGTCGCGTGTTTTTCTTGCTCTCTTCGTGGCGTGCACGTGTGTGTTTCTCTTTCCTCGCGAAATAAATTTCGCTTTTTTTCGGTGTGTCGCGCGAAGGTGTCAGAGAGAGAGAGAGAGAGAAAGAGAGAGACCGCGTGGTGTCTTCTCCGCACGCGCGCGGGAGAATGTGTGCCGCGGCGATCAGCGATTTCGAGTGATAATCGGCGGACGAGGAAGTTCTTTTGTGATCAGTGCGCCGAGCGAACCTGGCTGTCATCGCGACCTGGATTTTTTCGCGCGAGCCGAAGATGAAGCTGGAGTATCCCTGCCGCGTCGAGGGCTGGCTGAACGTCTGTGGTGAGTGCACGATGTTTACATGTCATGTTTCATGTATATGGATGTCGGAGGACGATTATATCGCTCCGTAAGAATTGAATTTTACCGCTCCGCGGTTCTCTTACGGTAATTAAAGGTGGTTTGTGCCTCGAAATAGCTGTCATTTGTCTTCTGTGTTCTAGTTTCTTTATCTTTTCAAATAATCTGAATAAAAAATCTGAATTCTCTGCTGATATTACATTTTTTCAAATTTATATTGACATTTTTGAGAACAATATGTTCTGAAAATCAATGACAAATTAATATTATTATAATTATTATATTTTATGTACATATAAAAGAGATATTGTGATTTGATTTTTATTTTCGATAAATGTATATTAGAAATTTAATCAATAAATGAAGATATTGAATTTCAAAACGCTATTAAATAATAAATAGAATTGCTTCGGACTAGCTGTCATTTGTTTTATTCTTTTCTGATCGTTCTAGTTTCTTTATCTTTTCAAATAATCTGAATAAAAAATCTGAATTCTCTGCTAATGTTACATTTTTTTCAAATTTATATTGACATTTTTGAGAACAATATGTTCTGAAAATCAATGACAAATTAATATTATTATAATAATTATATTTTATGTACATATGAGTAAAAGAGATATTGATTTGATTTTTATTTTCGATAAATGTATATTAGAAATTTCATCAATAAATGAAGATATTGAATTTCACGCTAAATGAAAAATAGAATTCGGAGAGAATAACATTTTTTGAGAACGTACAATATGTTCTGAAAATCAATGACAAATTAATATTATTGTAATAATTATATTTTATATACATATACAAGAGATATTGATTTGATTTTTATTTTCGTTAAATGTATATTGGAAATTTAAGTAATAAATGAAGATTATTGAAAATTTTACGCTATTAAATAAAAAATAAAATTTCGGAGAGAATAACGCGCGATGACTTACTTATCTACATAAAAATTTGAAATTATTTTGTTTGTCACTTGCATTTAATCTGTCGGATACACGTGTATGCGATATAACGAGAATGCTATTAATATTATTGAAAAGAGGTAATTGATTTGGATTTGTATTTTCGATAAATGTATACTATTAGAAATTAATCAAATAAACATTAAATTTCACGCTATTAAATAAAAAATAGAATTTCGGAGAGACTAACTCGAAGACTTATTTAGCTACGTAAAAAATTGAAATTATTTTGTATTGTCACTTGCTTTTAATCTGTCGGCATACATACACGTGTATGCAATATAACGAGAATGCTATTCTGATTTTGATCTCATGGATTGTGCACACTTTGTTGCACAATGATAAAACTGCAAAGGGAGGATTATTAAAAGTCCATTATGTAATTTGATAAATGCTCTTAAAATAAATGGACAGAAAATTAGTAATATGAAATATATTTTAATTAAATTATATATTTACTCTACTAAAATTCAAATATTATGTCCTTTTACTGTGAAAGACGAATATGTGAATCGTGTAATCCATCTGTTTAAAATGTTTTTTTTGCAAACTTTTTTTATCTTCCTTTTTCCTACATTTTTGTATTTTTAAATCAAGACATGATTAAAACATAAATTTTATCTGTCGTTTTTGCTTGTTAGTCTCAATATTTTTAATCTATAAGAGAGATATATAATTAATAAAAACTGAAATTGGATGTATATTAAATATATTTATATTGATAGTTTTTTATATTTTATATATAATATTGTGTTATATTGTTGCAATATATATATATATATATATATATATATATATTGCAACAATATAACACAATATTATATATAAAATATAAAAAACTATCAATATAAATATATTTAATATACATCCAATTATTATATATATATAGTATGTACACAAGAATTCTGCAGAAAGGTAAGACGCTTATATATGTTTTCTATAGATGAATATTTCTTTTATAAACACAAACTGTAAAGCGTTAAAATAACTTATTGAAAAAATTTACAACTCGGAAATAATAGGGCTCTGATTGATTTTTGATGTTTCTAACTTTTTCTTATCTTATTGATTATTCTTGAAAATAAACAAAGTCAACAGCTGATCGCTCATTCTTTCAAATATTACTTCGAATAACGAAGGCGATGAATGTGGGTTTTTCTCTCTCACAACGCTGGCTCGTAAACGTGTTACGCAATCCGGCAACGAAAGATAATAAACAGTAGTAAAGTGTCGGACTTTGCGCGATAGTTTTTGCCTGCATCTCGTAAATACATGTTTCTCCCTCCTCGCGAGATTCGATATACATATATCTCTCTTTTTTTTCGCGCGTTTCTTTCACTCTTTCGCCGAGAACGTCGCGCCGACGTGTATCAAGCTGTCGCGAGGACAAAAAAAAACGGAAAATAAGAGATGAGGGTGAGATTTCTTTCTGCGGCGACTCTCATGTGGGTTCGGCGGGATTTCTTACTTCGTCGGGTTTAACGATCTTGCGCTTTTTTCATGTCGTTCTCACGTCAAAGTGCGGACGTTCGATTTTTACGAACGGCCTGACGCGGCATCCGTCGATTCTTTACCTGACCGAAGAAAAATCTTCGATTTGGTCGCCTCTATCTTTTTGTTATCGACATTGAACGGATGGTTGGTGTCCGCAAAACCCGACGATATTTTTGTAGGTTTGATTCCCTGAAGCTTGTAGCTTAGACGTAGATTAGACGCGACACAATTTTATTTCCAGAAAATACACTAGAAAAATTTAGTTAATTCTTATAAGTATTTATTTCAACACAGTAGAAAAATTTGTTTTCTTGTTAAAAACGGTCCCCGTTAAAATTTTTGTGTTACACGTTTAACACATTTATGTGTTAATTTAACATATTACTGGTTTGTTAATTAAACTTAAATGTTAAATTATTAAAACAACTGAAAAAAATGTAAAAATAACACAATGTGCATCTATTTTTAATTTTACACAATAAATATGTTCTGCTTTATTAGTAACAAGATTTATTTTTAAAATTTATAGGAAAAAAATGTTGATTTTCTATTTTAATAAGTGGGGATGATAAAATTTAAAATTAACACAAAATTCCTTTTAAATTATTTGAAGTTTTGAATTTATTTAGTGTTAAAATATTAACACAATATGTGTCTCCATTTAACATATTCATATTATGTTATTAACAAAAATTTTTGTGGACACTGTTAAATTTAACAGAAATTTTTCAACTGTGAATAAATCATTTATTTGAAACTAATAATATTTATTTGATATGAAAAATATTTATTTGATATAAGAAAATCTTTTTCAAAACAAATATATATTTATTTGTTTCAAATAA